AAATCTGCAAACCTAACAGATTACTAAACTCATGACCTCTCAGCCTGGAGTCCTGTCCTTTCTTATTCCCTTCATTGTGAACGGAACCATCTCAGACCCTACCTTGATGCCCATTTCTGTCCTTTTTCTCTCTCTACCATTAACTCCTGGAATGCCCATTTCAGTCCTGCTTGATGGGTTTCATTCTGAGCATATAGGTTGTGTGTATGTCCTAATGGTAAAAAGCCTTGCATTTAAATGTGATTTCTTAGTATGATTATGTAACCACTGAACCTGGGAGAAGTAGAGATCAATTAGAGACATTTGTGCCCTCACTCTGGGTATCCAGACTTGAAAGAAGACACCCCAGGGAGTTTGAATCCCCCCTAGAAATCTCATGCTGGAAGAAAAATGTTGAAGCCTGGTAGAGGCCAGAGGACTTGTCTACCCACAAGAGCCCACAAGTGTGGACCACTGCTCAGACCACTTGGCTGGTGAGACAACAAAGGTTCAGGGACAGCCCTGGTAAGCACTGCACCATCGTCCTCCATTTGAACTTCCAGAACCCTGAAGATGGACCTGAGGCAAATGACTGAATCTCTTTGTACCTTTTCCCAGTGTTACCCCATTGACTAACTCTCCCCTTTTCTTCTTTTAACTATTTCTTGTTTGTTTAATTGACAATTGTTAATTGTTTTTTTAAAGGATAGGTTGGTTAAACCTGATTTATTAAGACTATGATGGCACAGGTTCTGGCCCTTCATTACTAGTAATACCTACCATCACATGCTGATGTCCCTCCCTCCCTCTCTGCCTCCCCTTCTTCCTTCTTATCCGTAAGAGTATGCTTAGAGACTTGTGCAACTGTGATGGAATAGACTCATCATTGTTTTTTCCTTTAGTTTTCCTGCCTTGCGTCAACCCTCCAAGCTGCTTCCTAAGGTTTATTATTGTTGTTATTATTATTTTAGCTTTAAAAATTGCTCACTTTCTCTTATATTCCTCCCCCCAAATAAAGTATTCAGCCTTTAAACACTGAACTCATGTTTAAATTTAATCTTTCATATTATTTTTGCCTTCTGTTTTAGGGCAAGCTTGCTTTCATGCTCTTAACAGTAGCTATATTATTATTATTATTGTTGTTATTGTCATAAATGTTTGTTTAGGCTGAATCACATTTGAGTTCTTTGATCACTGTTGTTTCTTTCATCTAATTTTTTTTTTTTCTGCTGAGATGGTTTGTTCTTTCTGATTTGGACTCATAGGTAGCCCACTTGATGAGGGTTTATTAATTATAATTTCAAAGTCCCTTCAAATGTCTTTGTTATCTTTTTATTCTCAAAACAATAGGTTAGGCAAGCATATAATGTATTTATTTGAAATGTTCCAGTGTTTAAAGTTTTGTTCATTTGAAGGTAATTTTAATGTGTAGTTTATTTTTATACAGTTATATTTCTTCCACAATTTCTATTTTTATCTAAAAGTGTCTAAGAAAGACTTATTTGTATTTATCTTATCTTCATTTCATTTTTTTGTCTTTAATTTGAATGCACTTGAATTTCAAAATTCTGGACAGTCCTAAGGTCTGTTCTTCTGCATTCTCATTAGGACTTGCTCTGTTTCTCCATTGTTGTCTGCTCTCCAGCTTCCTGAGCTTCTGCCTGTCTAGCCACCGTGTCAGAGTCCGATATGTGTATTTCACCCTTTTGTGTGATAGCTTTTGTTGATTTTTAAATTTGTTTTCTGTTGTCCTCTCCCCATCACTTGTAATCTAGCATTAAGTAATCTGGTTTGTGAGCTAGCTCTGTCTACAGTCTGTTTTTCTGTCAAGTAAAGAATGACAGGACAAGAGCTTTGTAGTCCAATTCTGATAAGATTTATCTTGGCAGAGATAGTATATAATCACACAATGTCAGAGTAAGCCCCCTGCATAAAACAGGGGATGGGGCCCAGAGAGGAAACACTGTCCTCTCAGGGCAGTCTGGATTATATACTTTTTAATAGGATCAAAGCTTGGCTCTCTTTCCTTTTTGAATTGGGCCAATCAGAATGCATTTATCTGGTTAGGCCAATTTAAATGACAGCAAGGACCAGACTGAGTGTAGAACTTTGAAATTCTCCTGGAGAAAAAAAAAAAAAAAAAGCAGCTCTCCTAGCCCACCCAGGCTTGTTATCTGTGGCCCACAATAAAGTTGGCAGGGAGTTAGCCCAGCCAAACCTACTTTGAGGGGTTATATGTGGCTAGCATTGGGAACCTGCTGCTTTAGAATTAGCCCACTGTCCCGCCCAACAGGAAAAAAAGGTCTCAGCAGTGGGGGTAATTTTTTTTGGGTGGGGGCAAGCCCTCTAAATTAGAGGTCCTTAGAGGTAAATTTGCCCTCATTCCTGGATGTTCCCTAAGCTTTGATGGGGTTGATATTGGGGTACCCTCTCTCAATATCTGTCTACTTAAGGATTAACTATCTTCTGTCTTCCATCAACAAGTACATGAGAAGGCAATTAAAAAGACATGTTATCAAACCCAAGAACTCAATCACTTTCCTTCCTTACATTAGTTTTCACCTTTTTTTTTTTTTTCTTGCTGCTGTCTGGCTTATCATGTGGGTGCTCTTCCTAAGTGTTCTCTGAGTCTTGGGAGGCCTTACATAGATGTCCCTCTTAAGGCTCAACATTCAACAGTCATTTATTCTCGGCACTGGGACCAGTTATGAGACTCTGCATTAACTACAGAAAGCTGTTTCTCTGCCAGTGTTCGGAATAAGATTAATCTATGGGCATAAGGATACATTTTTGATGGCAGGTTGACATGTCTATTTAGCAAATCTATACCAGTAGGTGCCTTACAAGGGCCTACAACCTCCTGTGTGTGGGCTCATGGCCAGGCTTATGGTACTGATATTTTTGAGAAGTAACTTTGGTGTTAGTTTTGAAGACTTAAAAAAAAAAAAAACAACAAAAAACACTGGGAATAGATATTGAAGATTTAAAAGCGAATTGTAAAATCTAAAGCTTTGTTTAGGCTTGTAGCAGGATGACACATAGCATTCTATGCTTTCTTAATGATTTTCCTCATTTGACCATGGTTCACATAATAAAATAAACTGGTATTTGATTGGGCTAACAAAGGACATTCCTCTGGCTTTTTCTTTCATCATTACAATGTTCAATTATTATTGAGGCTTATTAGAATATTTAAATGTAATTTTTTTTCTGAACTGTACTCCTGTGGCAGCCCTGATAGACTCCTGTATACACACTCAATCACACGATAAGTAAATAGACTCTTATGCCTCCCATCATAGGGTGTGGAAGTATGCACATGAGGGTTTATTCGAGTTGCACAAGGTAGCACAGTTATTGCATTTTTAAACCGAGACTGTGTAGGTCAACAGCTGGGTTCCCAGTTTCCACAGTGACTGTAAGTCAGGATTCCTTTGCTAGTCCTCTATTTCTGTTCATTTTCCCCCGAGCAGTAGTCATAATTTAAATGTATAATTTATCTATTCAGTGTTTGCATCAGTATCTTTCAGAGCAGGAACCATTCCACATTGCATCACTGCCAAACAGAGTGTAGTATTTGGTTGATGCCTGGTAATTTCTGAGTGAATAAATGCGTAAAAGAATGAAGTGTTTCTTTCATGGAGTAATGCCTCCCTCTGGTGGGATTTTAGAATATGGTCATGTAATGGCTTCCTAAATTCATTCCCTACCCCCACTCTCTCTTTTGTTTTCTTTCCCCCAGGTAATGGCCATAGGCTTGTCATCTTCTAGTTGGCTTGGTGAGATGAACTGTGGAACTACGTAATGAACAGGCACTAGTTTATGTCCCGAAGCTGGTGAAAGCACATCTATTAATGAGTTCCCTGATCAGAATGACCCCTCTTGCACTCTCAGAGCCTCTCCTTTCAGCACTAATGGGATCTGTTCAGGATCATGAGATCCTCAGGATACAATGCTTGAAATAGCACCTGAGTGCAGAAATAGTCCCTTCCCTATCAACTGTCAACACGAAAAGTGAAGCTCTCACCTCAAAGGGAATAACTGATAGTTTATTCTGAAATCAAATATGGATTACCCTGGCCCCAGGAACACAGATTTAAATTGCTCTATACACCGTTCTGTGGTAGCAGTTTCACGGAGTTTTTAATATTTACAGAGCAAAGAGAGTTATAAAATAAGTCATTTTACGATACATTGGTGGAAGTAATCAGATAGCTTGTAGGGCTGTGGGGCTCAGATGTAGGCAGCATGCTTAGCTTTTGGGTTGGTGGAAGCTAAGGGTCTGTTAATACATTCCAAAAAGACTTACTTAATAGCCACAGGGGTGTGACAGAGCTGTGTGACCAAACAAGTGGCGATTTAAGGAGCCGAGATAGCCCAAAATAATTCGGCACCAACCAGCCACCAGCCTGGAATGTTTAACCCGGGCAGGCGCGACTTCTGCCCACCTCGCCTCAGCCCCGCCCTCGTTTCTTCAGTTCACGTAGCCGACGAGAGGAAAGCAGCACAAATTACGCCCTACCAGAAGCCCTAATTCTTTCTGGAACAATCTTCGAAAAAACCAAAACGAAACAAAACAAAACAAAAACATAGTGAAGAAGATACTTTTCCTAATCTATTCACACAAGGGCAGCTCGTTAGCCCACCTTGTTGCCAGCACAGCCTCCCTGACTCAAACCGGAAGTGGATTAAAAACAAGAGGAATGTTTTTAGGACAATCCACGAAGGCAGAGTCTGGAGTTGCTCTCCTTTAACGTGTCAATCCCGTTTTCATTCCCTAGCCGCCGGTGGAGGCCGGAAGCCAGACTTCAGCGCGGGCTGTTCCTTCCTTCACGACTCTATGGTAGTCGGGTCACCCCGGCCATGAGAACTCTATGGTTCCGGGGCGGACCGGGAGGCCTGAGTTTGAAGCCGGCGGCGGGAAGATGGTGGCCGTAGCTGTCACCGGGCTGGGATTCTCCCGCGTGGGAGGCCCCTGGGACTGTATCGTGCCCTGAACAGCCGAGAGGAGCTTGTCTGCAATGAGTCTTCCGCGCCGGAACGGGAAACGGCGGCGTTCATCATCCGGCTCCGACTGGTTCTCGGGAGACGGTGACGGCTGTGTTAGCCCCCAGCTCCCGTCCAGGCCGGTGCTGAGTCCACCTCCGGGGCTGGGACGCGGCCCCAGGGCCGCAGGGGAAGGTACAGCGGGGCCGACTGGGCCTGGGGCAGCAGGGGTATAGGCTGTACAACCCGGGCCGAGCTGGGCCCTGATGGCCACAGGGGCATGGACACCAAGACCGCTCCTGGGACTACCTGAGGGCCGCAGGGCCATGCTGTCCACCACCGGAGCTGGTACTCCGGCACCGGGGGCGGCCTCCCTCCTGGCTGCCGGCATGCTCGTCTCTGCCTGTGTAGATATCGCCATTCTTCTTCTTCTTCCTTTTTTTTCGGTCTTTAAAGCTTCCCAGAAGCAATTTCTAGGTTGGACAGCTCCCGTCAACCCTGTCGCGGGCTTGCTGCGAATAATGTCCAGTACAACTTCATATTGTTTAAGTACCGCGCTGCCGGGTGTAGCGTAGGATGCAGGCGGTTTGGATTGCAGAGCAAAGTTGGAAGGGATTTGTGGTGTTTCCTCAGACCGTTAGCCTAATTCCTTTTTGCTCTTTGAGACAAGGGCTTGCTCTAGGTCAGGCTGGCCTGGGGTCTCGAACCGTTGATCCTGATTCTGCTCCCCAAATGCTGGGATTACAGCCTCGCACCGGCGCATCTCATAATTCTTTGCCCTTGGTTATGCAGACATCTCAATACTAAAACATAAACGGAAACCTCTTTCACCACTTTAAAGCTTGCCTAACACTCACGGAATACCTTCCTCCCACCTCATCGTTCCAGACTCTGTATTCAGTGTGTATAGCACAATTTTTCCTTTGTGGTTCTTAGGAGTTTTCAAAATTATATCTAGTAAATAATAATTTGCTGGTATCTTTCTGTGAAGGATCAGTTTCTTATTAAGTGTCTTGAGGTCACGGTGTGTTTTCAGTTTCTTTTCAAACATGTAGTAGAGGGCTAAACTACTGTATGCTGGAGGTAATTATAAATTGTTTTCGTTTTCCTGAAAGGGACATGCAAGCAAAGAGTTTCTGATGACCAGATAGACCGGCTGCTACTGGCAAACTGGGGGCTCCCTGAAGCAGTTCTGGAGAAATACCAGAGCTTTGGCGTAAAAAAGATGTTCGAATGGCAGGCAGAGTGTCTTTTGCTTGGACAAGTCCTGGAAGGAAAGAATCTAGTTTATTCAGGTATTCAAATTTATGCAAACTCCTTTCACTAAAGTTATTGGGGTGAATGGTTCTCTGTTGGTGTGGTCACATCTTCTACATAGATGGATAAGCAAATGCCTCATAACTGGTGAAATAAGTGGAGTGTCATCATTTGCATACTGAAATCACGCAAGTTCCATTATGTGGTAGAGAAGGGGAAAGAAGGACATTTGTAATTTATATAGTAAAAATTCCACTTGCTTAATGAACATATGTCTCAGAGTGAGTTTGTAATGGGGGATGCCAACCTGCTATTTCCTCATTTGATCTCAGTTGCTTGTTTGTGCAGGATTGTGTGTACAAAATAATATGTATTATACTTTATAAGATTTACATGAGTTTTCATCTCCCCACCCCCAGGGTTTCTCTGTGTGGCCTTGGCTGTCCTGGACTCACTTTGTAGACCAGGCTGGCCTTGAACTCACAGAGATCCACCTGCCCAGCTTTTACATGGGTTTTCAAGGGCAACTTTGATATGTAGAATTTTAACTCTGTGACTCCTACAATGACTTACAGATCAAATATAAGATATAATTTCTTTGTGTCAGTTTTCTCTGAAATTTTGAGTCATTCAGATTTTTTAATTAAGGCTATACAAAACTAGGATATTCACTAAGTACACATAAGTTCAGACTGACTGGGTTTGAGAACTGTATCATTTCCTGGCTGTGTGAATTTGCAGCTTAGAGGGCGAGTGGAAGAATGGGAGGCTGACTGACTTGGAGTGCTGAGGGTTAAGTATAAAAGCTTGGGATGGTTTGGGCACAGCAGTGTCTTTGGTTGCAGTGGAGGAATGGGCTAGTCATTTCAGTTTCTTAAGTCACGTATAATTTTGGTCAGCAACTCACACAATCATCAAAGACATTTTTACCTTAAATATATGTTGAGTCTGTGGACTTTCTGTTCCTGGATCCATTACCTGGTATAGCTCACACTCTTCCTTCTAGCTCTGGCAAGACCCTTGTAACTCACTTACGGTTTTCTCTAGTCTTGCCCCGCTTCCGTAGCCAAAGTAATCACTATAAATTACCCTTTTCACTTTGTTTTTTAAGAACATGTTAGTCATATTGCATTGCATTCAGAATAGACTCCGCCCCCCAACAAAAAAAAATCCTTAGATGGTAGGATTATAACACTCTTCTTCGAGTAGCATTTAAACACCTTTATCTTTGATTATGTATGAATATATGTGTTTGTGTATGGGTGTGGCACTGTAAGTGCAGTTTGTACAGAGATCAGAGAGGATGCCAGATCTCTTGGAGCAGGAGTTACAGACCGACCATGTGGGCTGCCTAATATGGATGCTGAAATTCAAACTCTGGTTGGGTGCTAAAAATTGAACTTATGTCCTCTCTAAGAACAGTATACTCTCTTAGCTATGTTGTCTCTCCAGGCCCAGGCCCAACCCAACCACTGACGGTTTTATTTACTTATTTTGTTCTTAAATAGCTTTCCTTTTTTGTACTCCAGGCTCATGAAATTGCTTGCTGTTATCAGAGCATCTCCGGCTCTGCTCCAGGACTTTTCACATGATGTTTCTGATGCTTACAGATCCTCCCAATTTCTGTCTTAGCATCTGTCTTACCTTAAAGGTGTTCATAGAGGTTTTTTTAAAACCCATTCAGTCAAGTTCTTAAAGAAACAAAATTAGTAAGGTTCTCAGTAATGTTCATTATTAATTTATAATATAAAGACTTAAAAACCAGGGGAGAAGACAAACTCAGTCCTCATGTGAATAGATGAGCTGGGGTGTCTTGGCAGGGGAGTTTCCCTATTCTAAGCGGATGTCGAAGGGAGGAGAGGAGGGAGGGGCCTATGACTGAGATGTAAATTGAATTAAATAAATAAAAAAAAAAGACTTAAAAACCAACCAGATGGTGGTTTGATCCTAGCACTCAGGAGGCAGAGGCAGGCGTATCTCTGAGTTCAAGGACATCCAGGACTACACAGAGAAATCCTGTCTCAGAAAACAAACAAACAAACAAACAAACAAAGAACTTAATAAAAACCCTCTGTTTAAGGTTTTAGCCCCACACTTGCAATACTGGGTTTGGCTTACAACAGTTTTTGATGCACTGTCGTAAATGCTACTTTTCTTCATAATTTTGTGGAATAATCACATTTTAGCTCCTACAAGCGCTGGGAAGACTCTTGTTGCAGAGTTACTTATGTTGAAGCGGGTTTTGGAAATGCAGAAGAAAGCTTTGTTCATTCTGCCCTTTGTGTCTGTGGCTAAAGAGAAGAAATACTACCTCCAGGTAATGGTTTTGGTTGTTTGAAATAGTGAAAGGTTTATCATTGGTAGCACTGGCTTTACTCATTTTGAGGGGGTAGAAAATGAAATGGAAAATGAAGGTCTTGTTTGTTTGTTTGTTTTTCAATCACAGGTATGTAGCTCTAAAAGCTGACGGTTAAAAGCCCTAATAGTTAAGTGGGACAGCTGGGCATGGCAGTGCAGGCATGGGATCAGATCTACTTGAGATTCTGAGGTGGGAGGATTGCCTGGGCTAGTTTGTGAAACCATGTATCAAAGAGTGAAAAGAGGCCTGAGGAAATTATAGCTCAGTACTACTAACAAAACAGACATATCCAAAAGAGGGAATTTAAATATTGTTATTGCATAAAGCAGTATAAAGTATTAAATATTGTTATTGCATAAAGCAGTATAAAGTATTCCCCAACCTGGCAGCGTGGGGAATACTGTATAAAAATGATAAACTTTCATAGGAAGTAAAGAGTAGCGTGCAACTGCTAATGAAAAATGAGCATTTAAACCGAATAGTTGGGTTAATAGATTGAAGTATGGAGAAAAACATGTTACAGAAGCCTGTCCCTCTCTAACTGAGGACCACTGAGAAAACTTAGGGACTGAAAGGAAGATTCTTTTGCGCTTAAGGGGATGCATTGAGTCTGCGGTCAGACCTTCTGTCTTGTTAAATGAGTCATAGTTTCTGCTAATGCAATTTTCCACAGTTTTTAAGGCATTTTCACAAATACAGTGTTCATCAGCTAGAAAAAATAAAGACTGAATTCTTTACTGAAGTAGTGTGCTGTTTGAATAGATATCATTGTACATACTAGTCAGAAATCTGGATTTTCGTCTCGTGTCCCAGGCACACAATCTGCAGGGCCTTGTGGTTTTTATCTGTAAACTGAGGCTGATCACTCACAGTGCTATAACTCAACAAACTTAAACTCTCAGAAGGAATTGACTAAATGACCATCTCTAAAGTTCTGTGGTTTTACAAATCTTTTTAACGGTTATTTCAGAGGCCAAATAGCCAACAAAGCTGGTCCTACTCAGTAACCTCCTCTCAACTTAGACTCAGAGTAACAAAACGATGAAGGATTCCTTTTATTGAGAAGGTATGTTAGTTAAAAGTTAAGCCAAAAAGTTAATATCAACCCCACTGAATTTAACTTTTGAAAGTTTTACTTCCATCATATGAAAAAACTAATCTTTAGTAGGATAAGAGTATTTTCCTTGTAAATTTGTTCCTTAAAATGCCATACTAGTATTAAAATTAACTACTTTCTGCTATTGGATTAGACATGTAGAACTTCAATGTTTTCCAGTTTTAATTTCTGTAATAGCTGTTAGAACTTAGGTTACTGAACCATTTATTAAGTGACATTTTACTCTTTTTAATGGAAATATCTGTGCTAAGCTTTGTTAAATCTAAACAGTTTTTAGTATATGATTCTATATTTTTTAGTATGTGATTATAAAAGTCTTCACCAGAAGCAAACATCTTTAAATACTTTTGTCAATGTTCTGGGATAGAACCTAACTGTAACTCTTCAAATTGTAAGTTTCCATTTGTGTTATTTCTTTTTACTTTAGAGTCTGTTTCAGGAAGTAGGAATAAAAGTAGATGGCTATATGGGCAGCACCTCACCAGCTGGACGTTTCTCCTCCTTGGACATTGCTGTTTGCACTATTGAAAGAGCCAATGGGCTGGTCAATCGCCTCATTGAGGAAAATAAGATGGATCTGTTAGGTAAGCAAGTTATAACATTAAACAAGTATTTCGTGTTGCTGTTTTCAGTGGAATGAAGTGAAACCGTGTTTCCTCCATGACCTATACTGTTTATTTTCTGACATCTGGTTTTGGAGGCAAGAACTGGCTGAGGTAATTTCAGGAACTTCATGTTTAAAAAGTGTCTGTTACTATGTCTTTCTTTTATTGGTTTTGCTATCTTGCGTTAAAATTGATTTTCACAATTATTTATTTAATTTTCATGGGTGTGAGTGTGCGTGTGGCATGGCACACATGGGGAGGTCAGACAGCTTGTGGGAGCTGACTCTCCTTCCGGATGTGTGTTCTGGAGATTAAACTCAGGTTATCACGCTTGACAGTAAGTCCCTTTACCCATTGAGCCATCTCGCTAGTCTCTTCTTGCATTTTTGAACTTTATAAAAGACAGGATATTCTTGAGGCTCTGTCATTCTTCATTGCTACTCTCTTGTGTTAACTTTGCCAGGAAGAGTAAGAAATGTGCTTGGTTGGACCCACCTTCTACACCAATTATATATGTAGTCAGAGATTAAAACCCAGAATATGCATAGTACTCAAAAATTCAACAACAAAAGAGTAAATAATCCAACCAATAAATGGGTGAATGAACTGAACAGTCAATGAATGGGTAAAGAATATAAAATGAAGCCACAAGCAAAATCATGATTTAGGCAAATGTTTAGAGTTGTAATCATTATTTTTACCAAAGTTTGACTCAAAACAAATCTATTTTTTTTCCTGTTACTTAAAAGTTAGATTAAAACAAATATTAAAGTAAAAAAAAAAAAAAAAGACTGTTTGGGAAAAATAAGGGGATCAGTATGAGGCGGTATGGAGTAACAGGGTAATGAGGGGTAAATGTGTTAATTACTGCATTAGGGTTTTCTAGAGTAACAGAATTTATAGAATGAATCTCAATACATAGAAAGGGGATTTATTAGAATGACTTAAAGGCTGCAGTCCAGTTAATCCAATAATGACTGCTTATGAACAAGAATCCAGTAGTTGTTCTGTCTGTGAGGCTGGAATCCCAAAGTAGGCTCTAGTTAATGCCAGTGAAGGAATGGACTTGCTAGCATGGCGAGGGCAGGCAGGCCAGGAACGAAGCTTCCCTCTTCCTGTCTTTACACAGGCTTCCAGCAGAAGGTATGGCCCGGAGTAAGGGTGTGTCTTTCTACCTCAGGGTCAGGGTTAAAGGCCGGTCTTTCTACCTGAAACATCACGATGTCCTACTTGAAATTAAGCAAAAATCCCTCACAGGAGTGCCTTCCATTTTCGGTTGTAGTCAAATTGATGACTAAGGATAGCCATCACAAGTACAGTTCATGAATAGATGAAAGTACTTAGTGAGACCCATTATGTTGTATAATTAACATATAGTATAGAGTTTTCTATTATAAAAGTGAAAATAGAAAACTGAAGAAAAAGTTGGTTCATAATTAATTTTTAATGATTTTGGAGCTTAGATTGGCTTAATTCTTCAGGCATTAGAGAAGGGCATTATGATCATATGTTCAGTGTGACACTAGCTGTCATATCTTTAAAAACCTGGTAAAACCATCTTTTTCTTCACTGCCCAATTCTGTTCTTTTTTCAAATAATTTTTTTTTTTTTTTTTTGGGTAGAGGGAGTATTTCACTCTGTACCCCTGGCTGACCTTGAACTCACAGCACTTCTGCCTCAGCTTCCTGAATGCTGTGAGTAACTTTTAAACATAATTAGGGTGTATTTCCTAATAGCTAAAATCACTAACACTGAAAAACTGAGATGGGTAGTTATTATCTATTTATTTCTACAAAACTACCAATTTAGAAAAATGTCTGAGGTAACAGGTAAATTTCCCCAAGTGTGCTGGATGGTTTTGTCAACTTGACAGAAACCTACACCTATCTGGGAAATGCTGCTATTATATTGGCATGCAATAATTAGCATCAATTATCAGGCATTTTCTTGACTGAAAATTGATGTGGAAGGATCCAGCTCAGTGAGGGCAGTGCCATCCCTAAGCAGGTATTCCTGGCACATATAAGAAAGCAAACACTCCTCTGTGGCCTCTGCTCCAGTTCCTGCTTCTTGGTACCTGCCTTGGGTTCCTGCTTGACCTCCTACAATGATGGACTGTGATGGGGAAGTATAATCCAAATAAACCCTTCCCTCCCCAAGTTGCTTTTGGTCATGGCATTTATCACAGCAATAGAATGAAAACTAACATACGGGCTTTAGTGGGTTTGTTAGCCCTGAGTAAGCTAATCACTAACTTTTTGTAATTAGAGTATATGGTGACAGTTTGTTTAAGATGCTTAAGGCATCTTGGACAAGACTTGGCAACTATGCAGAATCTGGCTTTTCCTTTATGGTAGATCGCTTTCAGGATCTTATGACAGCTATTTGCTGTTAGACGTGGGCTGCTTTGCCTTAATATTCTTAGAGCTGTACAGTTTTGTAAAAGGTCAATGTGCAAAATCCTCCTAGGAATGGTGGTTGTGGATGAATTACACATGCTGGGGGACTCTCACCGAGGGTATCTTCTGGAACTTTTGCTGACTAAGATTTGCTATGTTACTCGGAAAGCAGCATCGTGGTAAGTACTTGAAATGACTGATTTCCTGATTTTGAAAAGATCTTTATTGTTTGATGGCTTGGTGTTCAGTATACTGTGCTATCCCTACTAGGTGCAAGGAAAACATAACTAGAAAATGTTTACATGTTCAGAAATTAAATAATACACTTTGGACTAACTTTATGTCAAATGTATAAAAATGCTACGACTGACTAAAAAAAACAACGCAGTGTATCAGTGAGAGGCTTACATAGGCATTTGCAAGAGAGGGTCCAAATAGTCTGCACGTATGAAATGGCACAAAACATCATTGATCATTACAGAGGCGTTACTTCTTCAATTAAGTATTGCTGTAGTCTCTCCATAATGTTTATTACTAAAATGATTAACTTACAGTTGTCAGATGGTGACAAGATAGTGGAGCAGTAGAACACACAGATGTGGGAATGCTACTTTGGTACAGTCTCCCTGGAAAGCATCTTATCGTTCATTAAATTTGACTATCTGGCCGGTGATGTGTGATCTAGTAATTTTATTCCCAGATCTGTACTGTAAAGAAATGTCTGCATTTGTGTACCAAGGGCCATGACCAAGAATACTATCAGCAGTACTATGTGTTACTTCTGCATATTTCTTCATGCGATTTTCATTTGTTTTTCCAGCCAGGCAGATTCAACCAGTTCTCTGTCTAATGCTGTGCAGATTGTTGGCATGAGTGCTACACTTCCTAATTTGCAGCTTGTGGCTTCCTGGTTGAATGCTGAACTTTACCATACTGACTTTCGCCCTGTACCGCTTTTGGAGTCAATAAAAATAGGTAATTCCATATATGATTCTTCAATGAAGCTTGTGAGAGAATTCCAACCCCTGCTCCAAGTGAAGGTAAAGCATTGTTGTTACACCTCTACTGTCAGTGCCTTCGTGCTTCCTACCAAGCTGCTAACAGCTTTTAATTGTATAATTACAGCTTGCACAGTAGCTGAATGTATATTATGTATCTGTTAGAATTTTATTAACCTAATCAGTTTTACCTTAAGCAGTTAATAAGGATAGTGAGAAAGAGAATGTAGTGTGCTTTCAATTCAAATGACCATTATTTCCTGATCTATAGCATAAACACTTAAAATGGATTTTTTTCTACTCAATGAGAAGATTTTCCTATGGTTTAGTTTATATTAAACACTCATGGGGAACACTTGACATTTGTTGAATGTAGATCTACTATATAGTAAGTATATTGGATGAGAAGATTATTGCTTTTTAAAAAGATTTATTTATTTTTATTTTATATGAATTGGTGTGTCACTTGCATGCATGTCTGTGAAGGTGCCAGATCTCCTGGAATTGGCACTACAGACAGTTGTAAGCTGTCATATAGGTGCTGGGAATTGAACCTGGCCATCTGGAAGAGCAGCCAGTGCTTCTAACCACTGAGCCATCTCTCCAGCCCCAAAGATTATTATTTTAAGAGTCAGATAGACTTTCCTCTGACAATGAAGAGAGGTATTCAAAATGGCTGAGGCATTATTAGTTTAGTCATAAAAGCTTTCTGAACCTTCTATCTTTGTCTTTACAATAGGGTATTATACTTGGTTTTGGTAAGAATTCAGTATGATTGTGTGTGTGTGTGTGTGTGTGTGTGTGTGTGTGTGTGTGTGTATGTGTGTAGCACTTGAAAAGTACTTGATAAATGAAAGCTATCCCCTCATATTCCTGCTCACATTCTTCCCGAATGGAGAAGCATCCACAGGGCATTTGCTGTGTTGGGAACATATGCTTTCCGTTAAGATAATGTCCTCTGCCTTCACATATGAGCTCACTTGTTTGCTCAGGGAAACCTCTCCTTTAGGATATCTGTATCAAATATGAGACTAAATATTGCAAATCTTTTTCCTTCAGCACATCATGTGGTGGTTTACTCCCTCACGGTGTTTCTCAGTGAGATTGTAAACAAACCCCTTACCAATTGGCGCTTTGTTTTATTGACCTGAGGTTAGAGCTTAATAAACATGACGTGAACTCATAAACATTTTTTTACTCATCAGCATTAATAAAGTTTATTTTTATTGTAAATGATTTTTATTATATCTTTGAGTAGAAAAACCTTTCTTATGAGACAAAATGTATAATTTTAACCCAGTGTGAAATGTTTTGAAGGTATGAGTGATGTAGCTATTTCTCTTTCTTTTTTCAGGGAGATGAAGATCACATTGTTAGTTTATGTTATGAGACCGTTCGTGATAGCCATTCAGTATTACTCTTTTGTCCATCAAAAAAATGGTGTGAGAAGGTAGCGGATATCATTGCCCGAGAGTTTTATAATCTGCACCATCAACCTGAGGGTAAGGGACAGGTGGGAATGACGTCTCCATCCTTACTCTAGTTTGCAGTGATGACAGTGAAAAAGCACGTCTCTGTTCTGTCGCTGCTACTGTGTGTCAGCTAGGTATTCTTGAGAAAGCTGCTTTTGCGCTGCTAATGCTTCTCTGTCCTCTTCACAGATAATGTGCACATATACCCGGGCTAACAGTCTTCTTATTTTTATAGCACTATGTTTGTATATGTGTATTAGTTCTTCATTTTGGATCCATGGATTTTTGAGAGACTTTATCTCTGGAGCACCTAAATTGTATGAAAAATTATACAAACATACTTTTTTTCTGGAGAAAGTGATTATGTCTCTTTTTAATGTCCAGAGGTCTGATTCAATTTGATGAATTTTAGTGTATGCACGTATATATCTTTTCATCCAACACTATTATAATCACATGGAATGTTTCTACCGCTCTGAAATGTGCTCTTTTGTTGTCAGTCTTCTCCCATGGTGCCAGCTGTAGGCAACCGCTGACACGTTAGATGGCGGTGCCTTTTCTAACAGTTTCTGATAAGTGATGGCATTCAGTACATGTATCTCTTTTGTAAATAGTTTCGCACAGCATGAAGTTTTTGAGGTTCATTCAAGGTATCGCATTGACCTTTTAAATACTCCCTTAACATACTGCAATAACTATTGTCCTGTTTTTTACTGATTATAGGCTGAACTCTGTGGCCTCAACATTTTTTCTAGCATGTGATCATGTATGGTCTTTGTGTATCCTGACATTTGGACTCTCTCAAAGGTGTTTCTGCTGCTTGCTTTTGCTCCTGTGTTGAGGCCACACTTTCTTTCATGACCCATACTTTTTTTGAATTCTGGACCTTTTAGATAATATTTTATCAACTCTGAATATTGCTTCTTTTTTTTTTTAATACAAAAACTATTTATTTAAAGGAATTAATGTAAACAATTATATAAACTGTAAAGCCCTAAATAGTAGGACAGGTTTGAAATCTGGAAACCTAAAGAAAAAACCTAATATTATAGTTTAATACTACATGCTTTGGGAAAAGAAACAGTCAATCTTGGGGCTAAGATGATAGTTCAGTTGGTAAAAATTTGCCACGTTAATATGGGAGCTTGTACATACACATACACAAAGACAAGGTAAATCTTGAAGGAAAGATAGAAAATTAATGGTGATTCAATCCAGAGCAATGACCATAACAAGTAAAAGCTACATAAATTAGGAATGAAAAACAATAAACCCAAAGTAGTAATGGAAACTGTAAAGCATTGTCCTGTTTTTACTATATTTGATATTACATATGCAAAAACTGGTAATGAAATTGTTAAACACACATAAACAAACATTACCATTTTTAAAACAATGATGAATGACAAATAGAACATTGGCATTCACAGACAGGAAGCATCCATAGGCACAAGAGAGGATGCTGAATTGCTTCTTTGGCTAAAATAACACATCATATATTTATTTTCTAACCAAACACTCAGATGGGAAATTTTTACCATCTTCTGGCTAATAAAAACCCAAGATGAATTCTAGATCTGACTAAATATGATTTTTTTCTTCTTCCATGATCTTTTTCATTTTACTTACTCTTTCTAGGAAATATACTTAAATTGTAACTGTAATATTAAAGTTGAAAGTGTCTATGACTAAATATATAGTTTTATGAAATTTAGTTTGTATGTTAGTAATCGGATGCTTTCCTATCCAGCCCTTCTCTCTCTTTCACCCCCCCCTTGAATCTTAGAAGTTATTTTGAAATAAATGGTCTTTTTCATATAAATGAGCTGTTATCACTGAGATTTGTCTAAATCCTGAGGCCATTGTCTTTGCATTGAAGTTACAGGATATTAGGTATTTTATTGCTTCTTTGTGCCAGTGAGAGCCAGAGTAGGCAGTGTTTCAGCCTTATATCAAGTAAGTTTTGCTGAAGTTTGCACGAGTCCAGCATTGTGTTATCACTGTAATATCCCTCCAGGTCGGTCTTACCTGGCGTTGTCTATACCATGCTAACGTGAACTCTTACCTGACATGACATGACAACCTGTACTCCTTAAGGATCAGAACCAACAAAATTATCAGTTTCATTTAGATTTTCAAATTTTGTGGCATTCAGGATTTTGTAGCACGACCTAATGATTGTTTGGATTTCCTCAGTGTCTGTAATTATGTCCCCTTTTTCATTTCTGATTTTGCTGAGTTGGATAGTTTCTCTCTGCCTTTTAGTTAGTTTGGCTAAGGGTTTGTCTATCTTGTTGATTTTCTCAAAGAACCAGCTCTTGGATTCATTGATTCTTTGAATAGTTTTATTTATTTCTAATTTCTTGATTTCAGCCCTGAGTTTGATTATTTTCAGCCATCTGTTTCTCTTGGGTACGTCTGCTTCTTCTTCTTCTTTTTTTTTTCTAGGCTTTCAGTGGGGCCATTAAGTTGCTTGTATGAGATGTTTCAAATTTCTTCTTGAAGGCACTCAGTGCTATGAATTTTCCCCTTAGCACTGCTTTCATTGTGTCCCATAAGTTTGGGTATGTTGTGCCTTCATTTTCATTGAATTTTAGGAAGTCTTTTAATTTTTTTCTTTATTTTTTCCTTAACCCAGCTGTCATTGAGTAGCGAGTTATTCAGTTTCCTTGTATCTGTAGGCTTTTTGCTATTTCGTTGATGGTCAGACAGAATACAAGGGATTATTTCAGTCTTCTTGTATCTGTTGAGGCTTGCTTTGTGACCAACTATATGGTCTATTTTGGAGAATGTTCCATGAGGTGCTGAAAAGAAGGTATATTGTTTTGAATTTGGGTGAAAAGTTCTGTAGACATCTATTAGGCCCATTTGATTTAGGACCTCTGTAAGTGCCTTTATTTCCCTATTTAGCTTCTGTCTAGATGATCTGTCCGTTGGTGAGAGTGGAGTGTTGAAGTCTTCTACTATTAAGGTGTTGGGATCATTGTCTGATTTAAGCTTCAATAATGTTTCATTTAGGAATGTAGGCGCTCTTGTATTTGGGGCTTAGATGTTCAGAATTGTGATGTCCTCTTGGTGGATTTTTCCTTTGATGAGAATGAAGTGCCCCTCTTCATCTTTTTTGATTAATTTTGGTTGAAAGTCTATTTTATTAGATATTAGGATAGATACCCCAGCTTGATTTCTGGGCCCATTTGCTTGAAAAACATTTTTCTAGCCCTTTACTCTGAGGTAGTGTTTATATTTGTTGCAGAGGTGTGTTTCTTGGATGCAGCAGAATGTTGGATCCTGTTTCTGCAACCGTTCTGTTAGTCTGTGTCTTTATATTGGAGATTTGAGTGCATTGATGTTGATAGATAATAGTGACCAGTGAATGTTAATTTTTTCTGTTGTGGAGTTGGTGGTGTTACTGTATTTTATTGCTTGTTTTCTTTTAATTTTTTGTTGTGTAGTTATCTATATCCTATGTTTTCCTGGGTGTAGTTGTTTTAGTTGGATTGGAGTTTTCCTTCTAGTTTCTTCTGTAGGGCTAAGTTACTGTGTAGATATTGTTTAAGTTTAGTTTTGTCATGGAAAATTTTTTTTTTTCCATCTATGTTGATTGAAAGCTTTGCTGGGTATAATAGTCTGCATTGGCATCTGTGGTCCCTTAAAGTCTGCATGACATCTGCCCAGGCCCTTCCGGTTTCATAGTTTCATAGAATCTGGTGTAATTCTGATAGGATCCTTAGAATTTTAAGAAAAGTTTACCTAAAAATTAAAAACACATGAAATTTAAGATATAAATTTTTGTTTGTTTTATTTTTTGAGACAGGGTTTTGCTGTGTAGCCCTGGCTATCCTCGAACTCTCTCTGTAGACCAGGCTGGCCTCAAATTCATAGAAATTAGCCCGCCTCTGCCTCTCAATTAATGAGATTAAAGGCGTGTGCCACCACTGCCCAGCTATTGAAGCATTTTTCAATGAGGCTTTATAAGTTCAAAGTCTGGTAAACTGTTTATAATTAAAAGTCTGGGAAATTCTCTGAGAAGGTAGGGCTGCTGTGTTTAAAATCTTACCAGAGGAGAAGTAACTCTAAAAGGCAACACTGGAAGGTGACTATTAGATTAGAGACAAAGGAGCCAGAATTAGTTTTCAGTGATGGGACACATCTTGAGTAAGGATTTTGATGCTTAGGGTTTGATTGTTAGCTACTTTATGTCACTGTGACAGAAGGAATTTAAGAAAGGAAAGGTTTATTTTGGCTCATGGTTTCACAGGCTACAAGTCCATGAGGGTGGGAAAAAGTGGGGGTGTTCATGAAAGCAGAAGCAAGTGAGTTGGGCTCACACATCATGGGAGCAGACAGGAAGCAGATGGCAAGGACTAGAGCCACAGGTGGATTTTACTTTGAAAGGTATAACTCTAGTGGCTCAGTGCTATAAGCCACGCCTCACCTGCTAAAGCTCCGTAACTTCCTAAAACTGCCACCATCTGGGGTTCAGGAGTTAAAACGTGAGCCTGCAGGGAGCATTTTATACTCAAGCCATAACAAGTGATAATCTGCCCTTCGTCCTGAAAGCTCCTTTGATCATTCCCTTTGAACATCATGTCTCCCCAAAGCGGAGCCTCCTAACTTTGGGATACATTATTAGAACTACCTATGAACATTTATAAATTCTTGAGATCCAAGTCCCATCTCCTCTCGGTTACATCATAGTGTCCTGGGTCAGTGGCTTTAAAAGACCCACAGATGATACTAGTATGTGGCAATTGCCGAACCTGATCTTTATTTCTGTCATTACTTGGCAAGTAACAGCCAAGGAGGCAAAGAGACTTGTGTAGTTGGTGATTTTTTGTTTGTTTATTTATTTTTGTGTGTGTTTGACAGGATTAGTAAATTCATCTGAGTGTCCACCAGTGATTCTAGAGCAAAAGAGCCTTCTGGAAGTGATGGATCAATTAAAACGTTCACCTTCAGGACTAGACTCTGTGTTGAAAAGCACTGTGCCATGGGGAGTAGCATTTCATCATGCAGGTAGTCCTTGTTGGTAATCTCATATTTGTTGTTCTCATAGTGTGTTACAGACTTGACTCTGTAAGGGCACTTGTTCTCTTTGCAGGTTTCGTTCGCAGGACTCATATGGTGAATGGCCTATAATTCCAGTTCAGGGGATCTGATGCCCACTGCTGTTGTAGAAATTATTAATATTTACTATTAATTCATGTAATTATTATGGCAGTTATTATTTAATCTGCTATCATAACAATAAAAGACACATCTGTTAGAACAGATACTTTGTTATCTCCCAGCTCAAGCCACTTGCTTTAATCATTCCTATCTGGACTTCTTCCCATCCGAAATTCTTATAAACACTTGCACATATTTTCCATCTGGGCTGCTTCTTTCCAGCTCCTCATCCTCAGAGCAAGCTCCTCCCAGCCACATGCTTCTTATTTATGCTAACTCATGGCGACTTCCTGTCCTGTCCCTTCTCTCTTACCTCCTGTGATCCTCCTGTTCTCCAAGCCCACCAACCTTAGCTGTGCCTACCTCTTTTCTGCCCAGTCCAGGAACAGGCATTTTATTGGCCAATCAGGAATTATGTGGAGCAAGGTTACACAGCATCACTTGGTGTACGTGAGAATTTACTCATGGAACAGTAGAGATCTGTTTTGTAATTACAAAACACCAGACCATGCCGCAACACACTTTTGGTCTCTGTGATTTCCTATACACATATATATTCATGTAGGTTCACACAGAAACACATAAAATAATAAAACGAATCCAAACAATTTAAAAAATCAGCAGACTTCCATAATTTCTTCACTTTTGTATTTATGTGAATTTACATCTTGTTAATCACACTTAATACTTGTAGATTACATTTTAAGAAGCAATAGATTAGTCAGACGAGAGTAAAACGAAAACTTTTAAGATTTACTTATCTAAATTGTAATGAATATACTAGATAATGGACTTGGTTTATTTTCCAAACCACTGGGAAAGTGTCTTCTAAAAATTTTACCTATGTATATGTTATTTCCTTAAAATTTATGACAGTCACTGAGTGAAGTTCTTGATCTGTGATCTTATGTGTTAAGATGGCAATCATAAGAATGTTTTCTAAGATGGGACATTTAATCCTTTCAGTTTTATTCAGCTCATATACATATATAATGTACACATATGGTTTTAACGATAAATAACAATAAAATTTTAACATAAATTTAAAAATGTGTATGTACAAAAACATATCTACACAAAAAAAAACCTCACAAGGGTTGTTAATCAGTATGCTGTTTAATTCAACCTGCTGAATGTTCTTATAAATAAAATGTTATGGGAACACAGTCCTGCTCAATTGTTCTGCTGCTGCTTTTATTTAGCAAAGTCAGGGTATGTAGTTTTAGCAGAAACTACCAATTTCACCTAAAACATAGGCAATTTTGCTGACTTAGCTAAAAGTTGTCTCGAGATGGCAGATTATACTCTTAAATAGGTAATGACGTTTTTGTTTACAAACTTAACTATCATGTAAAAGATCTTTAACAGATGGTAGCTGACTCTCACATCCATTATAATTCATCAAGTGTATTGGTTCTGTGGTAATGTTTTGGACCCTGCATTTTATTTAGGTCTTACTTTTGAGGAGAGGGATATCATTGAAGGAGCCTTCCGGCAAGGTCTTATTCGGGTCTTGGCCGCAACATCCACTCTTTCTTCTGGAGTGAATCTTCCTGCACGTCGAGTGATCATTCGCACTCCAGTGTTTGGTGGCCAGCCTTTAGATATCCTCACTTATAAGCAGATGGTTGGTCGCGCTGGCAGGAAAGGAGTAGACACGATGGGTGAGTTTGAATGTGGCTGTCACGATATTGCTGACAGTCTGCCTGAAAGTTGACTAGCACCTGCCTATGTCTTGTCATGATATATTTCTTTATTGTGCAGTGCCCTAATGCCATCCTTTGGATTACTTGATATTTATAGTGAATATAATTTTTGTTAGCCATTGGTTTTCTTCTGGTAGAGAATTAAGAACTTTTCTTTTGTGTTATGTGCAGTGAAATGATTCAATGCTATATAACAACAAGATTTATGATTTTATTATCTAGAAGGTGATTTTATTTATTTATTTATTACAATTTATTTACTTTGTATCCCAGCTGTAACCCCCCCTTCTCCTCCCATTTCTTCTCCTGTGCCCCTTCCCTAATCCACTGATAGGGGAGGACCTCCTCCCCTTCTACCTGACCCTAGCATATCAGGTCTCATCAGGACTGGCTGCATTGTCTTCCTCTGTGGCCTGGTAAGGCTGCACCCCCCACCCCCCACCAGGGAGAGGTGATCAAAGAGCTGGTCACTAAGTTCATGTCAGAGACAGCTCCTGCTCCTCTTATTAGGGATACCACTTGGAAACTGAGCAGGGGGTCTAGGTGCTCTTTATGCATGGTCCTTGGTTGGAGTATCCATCTCTGCAGGCCCCCTGGGCCCAGGTTTTTTTTGTCTCTGTTGGTCTCCTTGTGGAGTTCCTGTTCCTTCCAAGTCTTTCTGTCTCCCTCTTCTTCCATAAGGTTTCCTGTACTCTGTCCAAAGTTTGGCTATGAGTCTCAGTACCTCCTTCAATACCCTGATGGGTAGAGTCTTTCAGAGGCCCCCTGTGGAAGGTTCCTGTCCTGTTCCTTGTCTTCTCCTACTTCCAATGTCTATCCTGTTTGCCTAGAAGATGGTTTTAATTTGCACATTTACTCCTTTTTTCAATAGGTGTGGTATATGTGGGTGTGGGTGCTCTTGCCCATCCCTATGCATATGTAGGTCAGATGTCCACACTGGATATTTTCTTTTATCATTCTCTACCTTATTTAGAAGGGTTTTCATTTTTTTTTTTTTTCTGTGTATGTGCTTGTGATTGGATGTGTGTATGTGAATGCAGTTATCTGCAGAGATCAGAAGAAGGTGATGTGTCTCCTGGAGCTGGAGTTTTGAGCTGTGCAATATGGGTACTAAGAACCAAACTTAAATCCTCTGGAAGAAAGACCTAGAATTTGTCATTTCTCTAGCAAGTCCTCAAGATCTGTCTCTGCCCCACCAATGCTGGGGCTACAGATGCAAGCCAGCACACCTGGCTTTTATGTGGGAGGTATGAACTCAGGTCTCAATGCCTGCAAGTTAGCACTTTACCCACTGATCCATCCCTTTAGCCTCTCATATCTAGCTTTGTAATCTCAAGTCAAACAGGATGCTAACAGCTAAGAAGTACTCTGCTTTTTGTCTCTAAATTGGTACAGCTTCTAACCTTGCACCAACAAGTAATGATGCTATTATCAGCAATCCAAACAGAAGGTTTGACTTAAGTAATGAAGTAGTTTTTGAGTTAAATATCAAAAGAGATACTTCATTTCTTCTTATTCAGTATATGACTAGTTGCTAAATGGTAGTCAGTTCACTACTCTTGAGGTGGGGGGTCCTGGAAGACGGAGTCTAAAAGTGAGGTGGAATAAGGTCATGCAAAAGCCAGCTTTATTCAGAGCATCAGTGAATTTATACTCTGAGGTTAAGAAGAGTGACCTGAGTAAAGTGTCCAACCACAAGGAGAAGCCGCACATGGCAAAATGGCTTCCCATAGAAGCATATAAACAAATAACAGTAGCCATTGTAATGATAATCTGAAGTCAGTTCACTCCTGTCCACTACATCTGAGAGGGACACAAAAGCAAATTATAAGAATAATTCTGTGTTTTGAAGAAACTGAGGTTACAAGACTCTTGTGTTTTCTCACAAGCACTCAGAATTCCCCTCCCATGACTCCATTATTGGACTGTGTTCAGGGTCAGGACCTCCTATTAATATTGTAATTTATTTTCTTGTATACAGTTTCTTCCTTTGTTTCTGTCTTTGTGGTTTAATGTTTTCCTCTAGTGTGTACTGTAGGTCTTACATAAACTATAAAAGGCTAATTAAAAGTGATAATAAGCCCGCCAGCCAGGGAAGCAGATGCCCAGATGCCGGTGTAAAATATACAATCAACAACAGCCAGTGGGCCCCGAGTATTGTAACATAGCTGAAGCACAGGGAAAAGACCTTAAAATAGTTTTTATGACTATGATAGAGGTCCTTAAAGAGAAATGAATAAATCTCTTTTAAAAAAATCCATGAAAGCACAAACAGCAAAAAAAATTAAAAAATAGTTCAAAACCTGAAAGTGAAAATAGAATTCGCAAGCTGGCCATGGTGGCTCATGCCTTTGCTTTTAATCTCAGCACTCATGAGGCAGATGTGGGCAGATCTCTCCGAGTTTGAGGCCATTCTGTCCTACAAAGTGAGTTCCAGGACATCAGGGTATATACAAAGATAATACCCACTTACAAAAAAAAACCAAGAGACAGACACAGAGAGAGAATCAAGAAAGAAAACTAAAAGCTGGAAATGAAAAATCTGGAAACTCAAACTGGAACCTCAGAGGTAAACCCCACCAACAGAATGCAAGAGATAAAACAGAGACTCTCAGACACTGAGGACACAATAGAAGAAATGGATAGCTCAGTCAAAGAAAATGTTAAACCTAAAAAACTCCTGGCATAAAATATCCAGGAAGTATGGGACACTATGATAAGACTAAATCTAAGAATAATAGGCATAGAGGAAGGAGGAGAAACCCAGGACAAAGGCACAGAAAATGTTTTCAACAAAATCATTGAAGAAAAAAAATTTTAATCTAAATAAAGGGATACCTGTCAAGGTATAAGAAGCATACCAAACACCAAATAGAATGAAGCAGGAGAGAAATTCTCCCTGGCACACAATCAAAACACTAAACATACAGAACAAAAAAAGAATATTAAAAGCTGCAAGTGAAATAAAAAAAATTCACAAATATCATATAAAAGCAGACCTATTAGAATTACGCCTGTCTTCTCAATGGAGACTCTAAAAGCCAGAAAAGCCTAAACAGATATTCTACAGATTCTAATAGATCACAGATGCCAGCCCAGACTACTATACCTGGCAAAACTTTAATCACAATAGAAAAATAAGACATTCCATGATAAAAACCAAATATAAGCAATATGTATTTTTAAATCCAGCCCTATAAAAGGCACTAGAAGGAAAACTCCACTAAAGAGGTTAACTACACTCGGAATAAATAAACTCAGATCATCAAATCAAAAGAGGGGAAACACACATATACATGCACACACACACACACACACACACACACGCACACAAAATAACAGGAATCAACAGACACTGCTTAGTGATATCTTAACATCAGTGGTCTTATTTTTCCAATAAAAAGACACAGACTAACATAATGGATTGGAAAACAGGATCCATTTTTCTGCTGTATCCAAAAATATATATCCTTAATATCAAGGGTAGCCGTCAATTCAGGGTAAAAAGATGGAAAAAGGTATTCCAAGCAAATAAACCTAACAACCAAGCTGGTATAGTTATATTAATATCAGACAAAATAGACTTCCAGTAAAAAAATTAATCAGGACACTACATACTCATCAAAGGAAAAAAATCCACCAAGGGGACATCACAATTCTTTTTTTTAATTTATTCTTTATTATTTACACTTTATTCACTTTGTATCCCCCCTGTTGTTCCCTTTATATATACTGGATATTAGTCCTCTGTCATATATAGGGTTGGTGAAGATCCTTTCCCAATCTGTAGGTTGTCGTTTTGTTCTGACGACAGTGTCCTTTGCTTTACAGAAGCTTTTCAGTTTCATGAGATCCCATTTATTGATTGTTGCTCTTAGAGCCTGTGCTGTTGATGTTCTGTTCAGGAAGTTGTCTCCTGTGCCAATGAGTTCAAGGCTCTTCCCTACTTTTTTTTCTAAGCGGTTTAGTGTGTCTGGTTTTATGTTGAAGTCTTTGATCCACTTGGACTTTAGTTTTGTGCAGGGTGATAAGTATGTATCTATTTGCATTTTTCTACATGTAGACATCCAGTTAGACCATCACCATTTGTTGAAGATGCTGTCTTTTTTCCATTGAATGTTTTTGGCATCTTTGTCAAAGATCACATGTCCATAAGGACATCACAATTCTTAACATCTATGCAGCAAACACAAGGGCACCCAGGTTTGTAAAAGAAGCACTACTAGAGCTTAAATCACATACTGACACACCCTCACACACTGATAGTGGGAAACGTCAGTACCCCATTCTCATCAATATACAGGTCATCCATAGAGAAACTAAACAGAGAAATACTGGAGCTAGCTGATGCTTTAAAGCAAATGGACCTAAGAAATATTTACAGAACATTTCACCCAAACACAAAAGAATACATTTCCTTGGCACCTCATGGAACTTTCTCCAAAACTGACCACATTCTTGGACACAGAGCAAGTCCCAACAGATCCAAGAAATTGAAATAAAAAATTTCCATTTTCCTTGCATTCTGTACAACCACCATGGATTCAAGCTGGATATCAACAACAGAAAAGCAACTGAAAGTTTGCAAACTCATGGAAACCGAATAACTCAGGACTGGATGAAAATCGAGTAAAGACAGAAATTAAGAAAGAAATAAAAATTTTCTAGAATTGAATGTTAATGAATTCATACACAATATGCCCAAACTTACAGATCACAAAAGGTGATCTGTAAAGGTGCCTCTAAGAGGCAAGCTAAGTGCCTACTTAAAGAAACAAAACAAACAAACAAAAACCTGGAGAGATCTCTCATAGTAGTAATTTAACATCACAACTGAAAGCTCTAGAAGGAAAAAGACAGCACAACCAAAAATAGTAGACAGTAAGAAATAAACACAGGAATGAAATAAACAACAACAAAATAATAAAAAGAATTACTGAGATAATGAATTAGTTCTATGTGACAATTAGAAAGATTTTCAAATCCTTACCCAAATTTACTAAAAGGTGGAGAGAGACTATCCAATTCAACAAAATTAGAACTGCTGTAGGTATTTTCATCCATGATTTCAAGTTGTACTACAAAGCTATAGGAATAAAAGCAGCCTGGTATTGTCACAAAAACAGACATGTTAATCAATGGGATCTCATGAAATTGAAAAGCTTCTTCATGGCAAAAGACTGTCATTTGGACAAAGTGGTAGCTTACAGAATGAGAAAAGAGCTTTACCAACTGCACATTTGGTAGAGGGTTAACATCCAAGTATATAAAGAACTCAAAAACAAACCTGATATCAAGGAAACAAACCAGTTCAAAGGTAGGTTACAGATTTAAAAGAGCATTCTCAAAGGAGGATATTCAAATAGCTGAGAAACACTTGAAATGTTCAACATCTTTAGCCATCAGGAAAATGAAAATCAAAACTACTTTGTGATTTTATCTTAAACCCATTAAAATGGTTAAGATCAATAAAACAAGTGACAGCTCATGTTGGTAAGGATGTGGAGTCAATGGAACATTCCTCATTGATGGTGCAATGTTGTATAGCCACCATGGAAATCAATATGGTGATTCCTCAAAATATTGGGAATCAATCTACCTCAAGATCCAGCTATACCACTCTTGGGCATATACCCAATGGATGCTTCTCCCTACCACAAAGACACTTAACCATGTTTATTGATGCTCTATTCATTATAGCCAGAAATTGGAAACAGTCTAGATATCCCTCAGCAGAAGACTGGATAAAGAAAAGGTGGTACATTATACAACAGAGTACTACTCAACCATTCCAAAAAAGGAAATCATGAAATTCATAGGTAAATGAATGAAACTAGAAAAAATATTGAATGAGGTATCCCAGACCCGAAAGACAAAAATGGTGTCATATATATATGTTTGCTTTTAAGTCAATGATAACTAAGTAATAATCCATATAAGCACAGTGATTATAGGTCTTGTTAGGAAAGGGAAATAGAACAATAGTTATGGATGGATTGGGGGGTGGATGGAATGGGAGGAGCAGGTGGGAAGGAGGAGAGGAGAGCAGTGAGGTAGGAAGTATGAGGGAGAGGAGACAGTTAAAATTTAGTGCCACTTAAGGGATAGAATGGTAACCTAATACACTAGAAGCTTCCTAAAATACATACATATAAGAAGGCAATCTACATAAAATCACCAAAAATGAGGGCGTCAGAGCCCCAGTTGGCCAGCTCTTCATACCAAATGAAGTTTCCTGTACTGAAATTGGGTTACATCCTGAGTTGTTGACCAAATGCGATACCAGGGGTATCCCTAAATAACCCAGGCTGTTGACAAGACTCTAGGTTGCCCATTTGCTGAAGACTACACCTATACAACTCATTGAACATGAAAAAGTCAAACTGGTGTCTACATAAAGCATTCACCCCTGTGTTCCTGAGACTTTGGTAAGGTACTATGCACACTACCAAAAGAGAAAGGCCACAAACACCTTCATCTACCTCCCATCAATTGTCCTGCCTACAGGATATGCCAGGGCAATGGTAGTACAAAGCTTGTGAGAGGAACCAACCAATCTGTGATTTGACTCAAGGCTCACTCCATGATATGGAACCCATATCTGGGTCCATTTTGATCATATGGTGAAATTAAGTTCAAGTTCCCAGGCTTTAGGGGAGCCTCCCAGATGGGAAGCCAATAATCTCCTTATTCTTTTGTTCCCCAAACATAATGATTGTTTTTAACCATGAAGGAACACATGATTCTGATTGATGAAAAGTTGTGACTGTAACTTGGCACCGATGTTTGCTGTCTTCAAGCTTAAAAACTGTGTTACATTCTAGCTCGGGGTTGCAGTTCAGCTTCGAGTATGTTCTGCTTGCCTGATCAATCAGTAGTAGCATTTTTTGTCATCTGCTTAAATACTTATTAAGATGAACGTTTGAAGAAGCAGTCATCCCCCGAATCTGTGCTGTTGTCCTTGACTGGTCAGTTTTTGCTGCTTAATTCAAATAAAGATCTTGCTTTGCTGGATTCTTGTGCCTGCTTGCCTTGTTTTGGATTTCTGGACCCTAACACAACAGGGGAAGAAGAAAAGCCTTTTCTTTAGTTCTCCATATTCTATAGCTTGGGCCTCATAAATAAGATGTTAAGAGACAGGTTAATCGGAAGAGGGAGAAAACAGGGAACAGGGACAGGAACCTACCACAGAGGACCTCTGAAAGACTCTACCCAGCAGGGTATTAAAGCAGATGTGAGACTCATAGCCAAACTTTGAGCAGAGTACAAGGAATCTTATGAAAGAAGGGGGAGATAGAAAGACCTGGAGGAGACAGGAGCTCTACAAGGAGACCAACAGAACCAAAAAATCTGGGCCCAGGCAAAGACTGATATGCCAACTAAGGACCATTCATGGAGATAACCTAGACCCCTTGCTCAAATGTAGCCCATGGCAGCTCAGTCTCCAAGCATGGGTTGTCTCTGACATGAGCTCAGTGGCTGGCTCTTTGATCACCTCACCCTGGGGGAGTACAGCTGTTCCAGGCCTCAGAGGAAGACAATGCAGCCAGTCCTGATGAGACCTGATAGGCTAGGGTCAGATGGAATGGGACGAGGACCTCCTCTATCAGTATACTGGGTGCGGGGTAAAGCACGAGAAGAAGGAGGGAGGGTAGGATTGGGAGGGAACGAAGGAGAGGCTATAGCTGGGATACAAAGTGAATAAATTGTAATAAATTTTAAAAAGACAGGTTAATAGGAAAAAAGGCAAATAGTCTTTATTTGGTGTTAATATTTTAATTTTTATGTGCATGAAGTCTTCATAGGATACGATTGAGATCTGCTAAAGCTGTTAGGTGTGGGGTCTTATAGTTATTTTTAACAAAGGTCGGTAAAATGTGGAGAAGTGTTGACAAAGAAAAGCTGTTTTCCAAAAAAAAAAAGAAAGAAAAGCTGTTTTCCTTGGGCAGTACCTTATAAGGAGGAACATCCCTAAGGGAAGCTAATGAAAAAGAAGGGTTATTTCAGTGAGGTTGGTTTATATAACCATCTTAGGGCTGGCCTCTGTCTACAGTGATCCTTATCACTGATATAGGAGAGAGCAAGAGAAACATGTTTCCAAAGGGACATCTATGCCTTGCTTGTATGGAGATAGAGGACAAACAGTTCTTTTCATGTTCGCTGCTTCTCCAGCCTTCAGCTAAAAATGATCTAAAAGCCAAAGCAGCAGCATGGTTTCTGGTAACATTCTGGTCTCTTATCCAGAGATCAAAAACCAGAGCCATGACTTAACAATTCTGTGCCCGCAGTGACCTCTAGCCTCTCCTGTCTCCTCTCTGTGAGTCAGACTTCTTGTTAGCAGCGTCCGATGGACATGGCTTAGTGCTGAGAAGATATGTGGTTTTGATTGTAGGTGAGAGTATCCTGGTTTGTAAGAACTCTGAGAAATCCAAGGGCATCGCCCTGCTTCAAGGATCTCTGGAGCCTGTGTGCAGCTGTCTGCAGAGACAGGGAGAAGTCACTGCTAGCATGATACGAGCTATTCTGGAGGTAGGAGTTCAGGAAATCACGATTTACTCTTTTATGCCTACCAGAAATTGAGTATGTTAAAATCTGAGTTGAGAGCTTTTATTTTTTTTTTTTAAGATCAAGATTTATAGCTTTCCCAAGTGTAAATCTGTTTCTCACATCTATTTAAACATACATACATATATACATAGTTCTTCAGGCTCTGCTGTCGGGCTCTGCTGAATAAGTTTAGAAATAAATTTTGATATATGTACACATACATACTCATATATATATAAGTTGTTATATACATATACCTACGTGTTATATATATATATATATATGAATATGTAGCTATTTTAAAGTTCAATATGGCTACTACCATATCAATATCTCAAATGACATGTAGCTTTTAAAAATATTTTTCTTTTTTCTTTTTTTGGTGTAGGGATTCGGACTCAGCCTTGTGCACGCTGTGTATGTACTCCTGTGCCATAACTGTGGCTCATCTTTTTACTTTTTATGTACTTTTTACTGCATTTACAGTAGGGCTGGACCTGTGGTGCACGCTTCTGATTCTAGCATGAGCTTCACAAGGTTAAGGCCGGCGAAGGCAGCACACACTAAATACTAACTTCATATTTTTCTGCCCTTCCCATCCTTCTGAATGGGAGATATTCATTCGTAGCATTTCTACACTTCCATGTTCTAGAGGGAGGAACAAAGATTGATGATTGAACTCATAGCTCTGAGCCATCACTTCCTCCTTTACATGTAGCTAGTTCACAAGTCCTGGTGCATTCTTGCTTATTTACAAGAAAATATTATCTTTAAAGGAAAACGTGATGTCAGTAGGTATCATCTATATTGTGATGTGTGATGACAAAAAATTAATAAACTGTCTCTACATAAAGACTGAAGATATTTTAGAGAGTAAATTCACTTCATTTACTTGATGTCCTGAGGCTCTACACATCTTATAGAACTTAACGGAACTTTTCAACATTTTCTCTCAGATAATCGTTGGTGGAGTAGCAAGTACATCACAAGATATGCAGACTTACGCCGCCTGCACATTCTTGGCTGCTGGTGTAAAGGAAGGGAAGCAAGGCATTCAGGGAAACGCAGATGGCCAGCTCGGGGCCCTGGATGCCTGTGTGACATGGCTGTTAGAAAACGAGCTCATCCAGGAGGCAGAGCCCAGCGGCGGTGCAGGAGGTAAGAGCAGCAACGTGGCGGGATGCCTTCTGTCCACACTGCAGTCACTTCCTAGGGTTGGCTCACAGGTTTCTACATGTTAGCTGAGGCTCTGCTTTTGATTGATCAGGGCCAAGAAGTTAGTGTGCAGGAGAGAAGGGCAGGGCTTTGTTTTGTTTGTAACCTTTGCTTCGGTATTCCCTCCTCCAGGAAAGGTGTATCACCCAACACATCTTGGATCAGCTACTCTTTCTTCTTCTCTTTCTCCATCTGATACCCTAGATATTTTTGCTGACCTCCAAAGAGCAATGAAAGGCTTTGTTTTAGAGAATGACCTTCATATTGTCTACCTGGTAAGTTCTGTTTAAAAAAAAAAAAAAAAAAAATTGCTCACGTTTGACAGGCTCTCACTGTGTGGCCTGGAATGCTTGATCCTCTTGCCTCTAGCTATTGAATATTGAGATGTGTGTTATACCAGGCTTGTAGGAAGAATTTGAAAAGTGCCTTCATTACTGTTCTTGTTGCTGTGACAAAACCCCCTGACAGAAGAACTGCAGGAAGGAAGAGTTATTTGGTCTCACAGTTCATAAGGAAGGTATAGAAGGAAGAAAGGCTGAGGCACCTGGTCTCATTGCATCCATAGTGTCTTAGTAAGGCCTTATGCTGTCTTAGTGTTCTGTTACTGTGAAGAGAGACACCAGGAGCACTGCAACTCTTATAAAGGGAAACGTTTAATTGCCTTACAGGTCAGAGGTTTAGTCCATATTGTCATCATAGTGGGAAGCATGGCAGCATGTAGGCAGCCATGATGCTGGAGAAGGAGCTGAGAGTTCTACAGCTGGATCTGCAGGCAGCAGGAAGTGAACTGTCTCGGGCTTCTGAAAACCCAAAGGCCACCCCTACAGTGGCACACTTCCAACAGGTCATACCTACTCCAACGAGACCACACCTCCTATTGGTGCCGGTCCCTATGGGCCAGGCATTTAAATACAAGTGTTTGTGGGGCCATTCCTATTCAAGCCATCACACATAGGAAGTAGAGAGAAATGAATGCAGGAGCTCAGCTAGGACCCCAGCCCAAGGAACAGTTTCATCCATAATTCAGGTGGGTCTCCCAACTCAATTAGTCTAATGTAGATAACCTCTCCCTGGTGTCCAGAGGCCTGTCCCCTTGTGATGCTAGATCCTGTGAAGTTTAATTATTAAGTAGTAATTATCACGAAGAGTTTACTTACATCTTCTACAATTATATAAACATTTTGATATGAACCTAATATCAAATTCTTTAGCAAGAACCTAACTAGTAATAAGTTTGTCACTGAAACGCAGATGTATATACACTTTGATGAGCAAATGAAGGGAGAGAATAACATTGAAATTACCATCAGAATGAGGACTTAACAGAAAATGCTTTCAATAAAATACACTGTGGAGGGTAAATATCAAGACAGTATCTTTTTCTTCCTTTTACAAACATGGATAGTAACAGGCTCGATGTTCTGTGCCTTAATATGACTGGAAAGGATCTTAAAGCAGGTGTTATCAGTCATCTGCCATGGCCTTACCTATGTCCACATATTATGCAGTAGACATGAGTGTGAGCTCCAGATCTGGACTGTTTGACTTCAACTTTTGGCTGCAACACAATATTATTCTTTTTATGTATGCCCTTTTCTTGCCCAAGTGGTATTAGGCTTTCTTTTACTTTTCCCCAGTCCTCCCATAAACTCTCTTCCCTTCCCCTTTCCTTTCCTCCTTTTTTTCGTAAGTGGTTTGTTTTGTTTTGTTTTGTTTTTCAGCCCAGGCTAGCCTCAAACTCTGTAGGCATACTAGGTTGGCCTGAAACTTTCCAGGCTGGTCTCAAACTTTGTATCCTGGTGCCTCAGCTGACTCACTGCTGGGATTACTGACATTCACCCTTTTATTTCTTTAAGCATGTGTTTTGTTTGTTTGTTTTTATCCCTTTTTCCACATTTATAATGTTTTGTCTTTAACATCTGGACACTTTTTTTTTCTTTTTATTCTTTTTTAATTCTTTATTAATTACACTTTATTCACTTTGTATCCCCCCTGTGGTTCCCTCCCTCCTCCCATCCCAATCCCTCCCTTCCTCCACCCTCTGCATGCATGCCCCTTCCCAAGTCACTGATAGGGGAGGTTTTCTTTCCTTCTGATCCTAGTCAATTAGGTCTCATCAGGAGTGGCTGCATTGTCTTCTTCTGTGGCCTGGTAATGCTGCTCCCCCCTTAGGGGAAGGTAATTAAAGAGCAGACCAATCAGTTCATGTCAGAGACAGTCTCTGTTCCTATTACTATGGAACCCACTTGGATACTGAACTGCCATGGGCTACATCTGTGCAGGGGTCTTAGGTTATCTCCATGCATAGTCCTTGGTTGGAGTATCAGTCTCAGGAAAGACCCGTGTGCTCAGATATTTTGGTTCTGTTGCTCTCCTTGTGGAGTTCCTGTCCTCTCCAGATCTTACTGTTTCCCACTTCTTTCCTAAGATTCCCTGCACTCTGCCCAAAGGCTGCCTATAAGTCTCAGCATCTGCATTGATAATCTGCAGGGCAGAGTCTTTCAGAGGTCCTCTGTGTCAGGCTCCTGACTTGTTCCCTCTTTGCTCCTTCTTCTGATGCCCATCTTCTTTGCCTTTCTGGATAGGGATTGAGCATTTTAGCAAGAGTCCTCTCCCTTGATTAGTTTCTTTAGGTATACAGATTTTAGTAGGTTTATCCTATATTATATGTCTATATGAGTGAGTATATACTGTGTACATCTTTCTGCTTCTGGGATAGCTCACTCAGGATGATCTTTTCCAGATCCCACCATTTACCTGCAAATTTCATGATTTCCTTATTTTTATTGCACAATTTGTGCATCCATTCCTCCACTGAGGGGGCATCTGGGCTGTTTCCAGCTTCTGACTATTACAAATAAAGTGCTACAAACATGGTTGAGCAAATGTCCTTATTGTGTACTTGAGCCTCTTTTGGGTATATGCCTAGGAGTGGTATGGCTGGATCCTGAGGAAGCGCTATTCCTAGTTGTCTGAGAAAGTGCCAGATTGCTTTCCAACATCTGGACACTTTTAACAGTGTTTCTTTGCTTCTACCCGCAACCCCATGCTTTGTCTTGGAGATTTTTCGGTGAATTCTGGAGCTCTTAGGCAATATATCAATTTTGCTTGTTGATTTTTTTTCTCCCTCTCTTAAGTTTTCTTTCCATTTTTTTTCTTGGAATTACACAAAACAGTTAAGATAATATCTTGTGTCAGACCTACTTGAGTTGAAAATGTCTATGATTAAAGACTTGCATTCCATGCAATCCAGTTTGTGTGGTTAACAATCAGTCTCTCCCCCCCCATTCCTCTCTCTGGCTTTCTCTCTTACTCTGTCTCTCTTACTCCATCAGTGAGTTACTTATGAATAAATGTTTTCTTATAAATGAGTTATTACACAGATTTTTCTGTATCCCAAGGCCTTTGTCTCTATTATGAAGTTTACAATTATAATTTTGTGACTTAGGCAGTATAATGGGTTTGTTTTTGTCCAGTGCTAAGGCTTGAGCCCATGGCCTTGCACATGCCAGGCAAGTGTTTAACACTGAGCTGCCCACAGCTCACTGTCAAGCAATTACTCAAACTAAAATGATGCTTCTTCTCTTTAGGTTACACCTGTGTTTGAAGATTGGGCTACTATTGATTGGTATCGATTTTTCTGTTTATGGGAAAAATTACCAACTTCTATGAAAAGGGTGGCAGAGCTGGTTGGAGTCGAGGAAGGGTTTTTGGCTCGGTGTGTGAAAGGAAAAGTAGTAGCCAGAACTGAGAGACAGCATCGACAGATGGCCATCCATAAAAGGTAGGCACAAGGAGCCTCCAGCATTTATCATTGTCGGGCACATGTCACTGAGCCACTTTGATTGTCGATAATATAAACATTTTGGCTAGCCATGATCAAAATTTAAATTTCTCCTATTTATTTAATTTTCTGACTTTAATTTTTCTTGGAACTTGTAATTTAGCAGTCCTTATGCCTGCAGGTCTGGACTTTATAATTAGATACTGTCATTTGACCAAAATTATATTCATTTTATATCCACGTTTCAAATCTTCTAAATTTTTGTGCCATCACATTATTTTAAACGAAGCATTATTTCTTGAAATCAGTTAATAACATTAAAATGTGAGACCTTTTTTTGTTACCGGATGTTAGTTCGTACCTCTGGTTAAGGTACGTAAAGCTTACTGTGTACACATGCTCTGAGTCCGTGCCCACCAGCCTTCTCTGTGTGTTGGGAGCACAACACACAGAAAGGACCCTGCTAGCTTGTCGGTCTGTAGTTTGTTTGCAGCATCGCTATAAGCGATCTCTTATAACACTTTTGATAATTTATTTTTAGGTTTTTCACAAGTCTTGTGTTACTGGATTTAATCAGTGAAGTTCCCTTAAAGGAAATTATTCAGAAATATGGATGTAATCGTGGACAGATTCAGTCTTTGCAACAGTCAGCTGCTGTTTATGCAGGTCAGTTAGACAAAGTGTTTCACGTCTATCCAAGATTCTATGGTTTAAAGTTGTTAAGATTCCTTTTTTGAGAAGGGTCTTGTTTACTGTGTAACTCTGCCTGGCTTGGGGCTCCCTATGTATACTGGATTGTCCTCAAATTCAGTGATCCACCTGCCTCTGCCTTCTGAGTATTAAAGGTGTGTACCACTACGCCTGGCTTAACATCACTTTTTTTTAAACTTCCATTTACTTAAGCCTTTTGGAATTGCTTCAATTTTAGAAACCTCATCAGGGTGCGTCTTACTCTTTCCCCTCCTGTTCCTTAGCAACTTCCTGATTGTACGTATTTTCTCTGGCTTACCCTCTACAAGAAGAAACAAAGTTCTCAGTGGAATCCCTTTCCTCTTAGTACTGATGAATAGATTTTGAGAAAGAAGATGCAGATGAAGAGAGATTTGTGGACTCTCTCCTGACCGATCTAAATATCATGCCTTAGGAAGCACTCTCAGTTACACAAACAGGTAGATTCCTGATATGATGCTACTAAAGCATCTTTGTTAGCCTTTGGGAAGGAAAACCAGGACTACTAAAGGGTCTATGCCTTTACGTGTTAGGGCTTCTCTGTAGATGTGTGTACATATGAGGGATGCTGAGTAGATGTGGGCAGAGGGTAGAGTGAAGGAAAGGACCCTGATTCAGTGTTCTTTCTCCATGTGTGGTACTTGGCTTCTGTGATCTCTTTATTTCAAGAGGTTGAGGTTAAGGGGCAGAATAGCCTTTCTTTGAAGAAAATGGCAACCAGAATACCACTCTATAGTTCTCTCAGCATTTGAATTTTTAAATCATTTTTCCAGGAAAGAGTTCTTCTCTTGCTTTGTTAGAGTTCTCTTTTCCTTAAAAGAAGAAAAAGAAAAGCCAGACATGGTGGTGTATGCCTTTAATCCCAGCACTCAGGAAGGTACAGGCAGGCAGATCCCTGTGAGTTTGAGGCCAGCCTGGTTCAGAAAGCAAGTCCAGAACAGCCAGGGCTGCAGAGAGAAACCCTGTCTTGAAAAACAAACAAACAAACAAACAAACAAACAAACAAACCAGAAAGGAGACAGAAAAGGGAAAATATAAGAAAGAGGTAGTGAGAAGAGTGGACTAAAATGGAGCTTTTGTTCTTTGTACGTATGTGCTGAGTATGCCTCAGGATCCAAATTTTAAGTTCAAATTAGGAATGAATGAGATGGGCGTTGAGAGAGGGCTTATTATGCCAGCATGAGGTCCAGAGTTCAGATCCCCAGCCCCCTGCATACAAAGCTGGGCCCAGTGATGCATGCCTGTGTTCTCAGTGCAGTGAGGCAGAGGTCCCAGGGACTTGGTGGGTAATTATTCCAGTCAGTTGGTGAGCCCAGTGTTTAGTGAGAGAGCCCTGTCTCAAAAACTGAAGTGGAGAGTGAAAGGAAGATGCTTGATATCAATCTCTTGTCTCTAATTGTGTGCACGTGGGCACACAGACAGGCATAATGCTTGCACACAGAATAAAACTTAATAAGTGAGATGACCTTAATGTGCTTGTTTTATTCTTTGTACACATAGCTAGAACTTTTAATATTTGTCTGCCTCCCTGTTGACTTATTTCTTGGTCCTGTTAAACCTTACATTCTGCAGAAAAGCAAAAGCAAACCAAACATGCACACACATGTATATCCATACATATGTATCCACACACTTGCACATATATATTGATATATGTTTATAAATACACACATAGAGAACTAGTTTAAAGCAAATTTTAACTCAACAAATATTCTCTGGCTGTTCTAGGAATGATTACGGTGTTTTCCAACCGTCTGGGCTGGCACAACATGGAACTGCTACTTTCCCAGTTTCAGAAGCGTCTTACGTTTGGCATCCAGAGGGAGCTGTGTGACCTGATCCGCTTGTCCCTACTCAATGCCCAGAGAGCCAGGAGCCTGTACGCTGCTGGCTTTCTCACTGTGGCCGATCTCGCCAGAGCTGACATTGCGGAGGTGGAGGCGGTTCTGAAGAATGCCCTGCCTTTCAAAAGGTAGCGAAGTCCTCATCTGCTATCGGGCTATTGAATGATGGCGCATCAACCTTTAACCTTAAATAATAGATAATGTATTAAATATGTTAAGACATTTCCCTTGTGGAGACTCTTAGAGTGACTTTCAATCTACTGTTCATTGCATCATGCTTAATGAGCTGACTAGCTCCTAGTTCTCACTGCAGTCATCTTTCGCAGTCCTCTCCAGTTTTTCAGTTCACTAACTAATGAATTAAGGTTTGGCTAGGCCTCATTCTATAATAACACAGCTGTTCTTGACATGTGATTCTCCCACCTCAGCCTTCCTAAACGAGGTTCCTGGCATGCACAAGCACACCTGCCCGCTCCAGTTCCATAGCCTTCCATAGCCGGGACAAACTCTGAAGTAGATTTTGTAGATTTAATGTCTTCAGCACTAGGTATAATGAATATGAGAATTAGGGTTGGCTTAGAATTAGCTTTCCACCTCCTTGAGATGTGCCTCTGGCTGACTGCTCGTCTTAGAATAAGCCCCTGATTTTCACAGACTCTTTGAAGGTAATATCTATGCCCAAGACATGTACTAGTAGTTTCTGAGGTGAAGAAGATAAGGCATAGGCAGGCATGTGATAACATACTACAGATGACAGCAGCTCTTCAGGGAGTCAGCTGAAGGCAGTATACACCAACAAACAAGCAAGCAAACAAACAAACGAAACAAAGATGGTAGAAACTTGTTACCTGTTGTCTGTATGAGTCTTGTGTTTTGTGGTAAGATTGTTTGGGGGATAGAAACTGTGTATTTGTTTGCCTGCCATCCTTTTCCTTTTAATGCTTAATACATTAAAATCCAGAAATCCTACCGGCATTCATACTGCCTTGAATTCACTAGCATTGCCCACAATCTGCAGTTTCTTATGTTGTTGGGACTAATTCAGTGGGGTGGGTTCCTAGACATGATATTTCAAAAGTAAGTGCATAACCAGCTCTGTTAGGTACTCAGAACTGCCCTCAGGGGGCTCACCCCAGGTTGCATTTTCTCCCTCCATCCGTGGTAAAAGGCTAGATTTCTCACCAATAGTCTCACCAATAGAAACAACAGATTGGTGTTTTTCGTTGTATTTTCTCATGGTTTTACTTTGCAGTTGTGTAAGTGAGTTTTTGTTCACTGGGCCAATTATTTCTGTTGTGCTTCTTTTTCTTTTTCTCTTTCTTAAATAATTTCTTTTCAAATGGATTTGAATTTTGAGCCTTCTACTTGATATGTGTGCTTCAAATGTTTTCTCACAATTTATCACTTTGTTAACTTTTATTGTTTGTTTGATAGCCAAATTTTTTAATGCACATGTGTATGATGTGTGTGTGTGTGTGTGTGTGTGTGTGTGTGTGTGTATACATAAGTGTGCACAGGCATGTGACTGTGTGTGTGTGTATGTGTGTGTTCAGAGGCTAAAGGAGGATTTCAGGTGTCCTCCTCTCTGGTCTGTCACTGAACCTGTGTCACTTTCTCACCAACACACAGCAGTCCTTTCGTCCCTACTCCTCCTGCTCACCTTCTTTTTTTTTTTAACTTTTTTTATTTTTTATTAATTACACTTTATTCATTTTGTATCCCCCCATAAGCCCCTCCCTCCTCCCCTGCTGATCCCACCTTCCCTCCCCTTTCTGCATGCATGCCCCTTCCCAAGTCCACTGATAGGGGAGGTTCTCCTCTCCTTCTTTCTGATCTTAGTCTATCAGTTCTCATCAAAAGTGGCTGCATTGTCCTCTACCATGGCCTGGTAAGGCTGCTCCCCCCTCAGGGGGAGGTGATCAAAGAGCAGGCCAATCAGATTATGTCAGAGGCAGTCCCTCTTCCCATCACTATGTAACCCACTTGGACACTGAACTGCCATGGGCTACATCTGAACCTAGGAACCTGCTACAGAGGGCCTCTGAAAGCCAGAAGAAGAAAACAGGAAGCAAACTAGGAACATACCACAGAGGGCCTCTGAAAGCATCTGCCCTGCAGACTATCAAAGCAGATGCTGAGCCTGATGGCCAACTGTCGGGCAGAGTGAATGGAATTTTATGTAAGAAGTGGGAAATAGTAAGAGCTGGAGAGGACAGGAACTCCCTGAGAGCAACAGAACAAGAAAATTTGGACACAGGGAACTTCCCAGAGACTCATACTCCAACCAAGGACTATTCATGGAGATAACCTGCTTACCTTCTTAAAGCTCTTCCAAGAGCTACCTGTCTCAGGGTTCCAGTTCCCGTCCTGCTGGCTTCTGAAGACTCCATTATGTAAACATGCAAATGGTGTGTAGTCTGCCACTGACAGACTGCATGAGGAACCCAGCCAGGCCTGTTAGATATATGAGTATAGGCTAGGCGTGTTTGCAGTTACAAGGTCTAAATCTGAAATATATCTGTGTACTCATTAGGTTCTTTCTTACCCTACTTTACACTTGCAGTAAGGTTCTCCTCTATTCTGCTGTTTTTAGGTTACTTCTTATTGGCTCAGTTTTCTGTAGTTTTGCCTCATAAACACTCATCTCTCTCTCTCTGTGTGTGTGTGTGTGAGTGTAGTTTAGACCATTACAATACCCTTTATCACACTGAAGCTCTTTTTGACTCATATTTTTTTCAAAAGTTATTTATTTTTTTCATTACTACAATTTATTCACTTTGTATCCCAGCTGTAGCTCCCTCCCTCTTCTCCCCCTATGCTCCTCCCCTAGTCCACTGATAGGGGAGGTTCTCTTTCCCTTATGTCTGACCTTAGTCTATCAGGTCTTATCAGGACTGGTTGCATTATCTTCTTCTGTGGTCTGGTACATCTGCACTCCCCCCAGGGTGAGGTGATCAAAGAGCCAGCCACTGAGTTTATGTCAGAGACAACCCCTGCTCCCCTTACTAGGGAACCCACTTGGAGACTGAGCTGCCATGGGCTACATCTGAGCAAGGGGTCTAAGTTATCTCCATGAATGCTCCTTGGTTGGAGTATCGGTCTTTGTAAAGACCCCTTGGCCCAGATTTCTTGGTTCTGTTGGTCTCCTTGTGGAGCTCCTGTCCCCTCCAGGTCTTTCCATCTCCCCCTTCTTTCATAAGATTCCCCGCACTCTGCCCAAACTTTGGCTATGAGTCTCAGCATCTGCTTTGATACTTGCTGGGTAGAGTCTTTCAGAAGCCCTCTGTGGTAGGCTCCTGTCCTGTTCCCTGTTTTCTCCCACTTCCAGTGTCTATCCCATTTGCTTTCTGGGTGAGGATTGAACAATTTCCCTACGGTCCTCCTTTTTGTTTAGCTTCTTTAGGGGTATAGATTTTAGTATGTTTATCTTATATTTTATGACTAATATCCACTTAAAAGCGAGTATATAACAACATGTATGTCTTTCTGCTTCTGGCTCACCTCCCTCAGGATGATATTTTCTAGTTCCCACCATTTGCCTGCAAATAGAGCCATATTTATCACCCTGCACAAAACTAAAGTCCAACTGGATCAAAGACTTCAACATAAAACCAGATACACTAAACCTGTTAGAAGAAAAAGTGGGGGAAAACCATGAACTCATTGGCACAGGAGACAACTTCCTAAACAGAATACCAATAGCACAGGCTCTAAGATCAGCAATCAATGAATGGGATCTCATGAAACTGAAAAGTTTCCATAAAACAAAGGAACTGTCATCAGAACAAAACGACAGCCTACAGACTGGGAAAGGATCTTTACCAACCCTATATCTGACAGAGAACTAATATCCAGTATATATAAAGAACTAAAGAAGTTAAACAGCAAAAAAATCTAGTAATCCAATTAAAAAATGGGGTACAGAGCTACACAGAGAATTCTCTGTAGAGGAATATAGAATGGGAGAGAAACATTTGAAATGTTCAACATCCTTAGTCATCAGGGAAATGCTAATCAAAATGACTCTGAGATTTTACCTTATACACATCAGAATGACTAAGATCAAAAACACAAGTGACAGCACATGTTGGAGAGGACATGGACAAAGGGGAACCCTTCTCCTTTGCTGGTGGGAATGTAACTTGTACAACCACTTTGGAAATCAATCTGGTGCTTTTTCAGACAATTAGGAATAGTGCTACCTCAAGATCCAGCTATACCACTCCTAGGCATGTATCCAAAAGATTCTCAAGTACACAACAGGGACATTGCTCAACCATGTTCATAGCAGTTCTATTCTTAATAGCCAGAATCTGGAAAGGACTCAAATGTCCCTCAATTGAGGAATAGATACAGAAATTTTGGTACATTTACACAATGGAATACTACTCAGCAATTAAAAACAAGGAAATTATGAAATTTTTGACTCATATTTAGCTGGTCCTGAATTAGCTGCCTTTTTGTGTCTGCTTGTTTGGGATCCCTTCATCTTTAGCTTTTGAATCATTTTGTATTGATAAAGTTTTGATTACCACTCCTCATAGTAGTTGAGTTTTGCATCTAAACTGAAAAATTGAAAAAGTGAAGATCTTTATCTTTGAATCGATGGTTCAGTGCTTTTCATATTTTGTTGAGGTGACTGATAACTGTGCTCTTATATTTGATGTATGTTTATGACAGCTGCCATGTTTCTTTCTCTCCAGTTGGCTCTGCTTTGCTGTTCCATTTTTAAGTTTAGAAGGCTGTGAATCGTGCCTGTACTCTGCATGATCGGGTTCTTGAAGGTTTTGGGGGTGTCCTGTACCTTTCACTTACTGGTTGAGCAGCAGCTGTGGGATTTACTTTTTTCCCCTTTCCTTTTTTCCTGTGTCTCGGCATACAGCACTGCACGTTAGGTTGCTGCGCTCGCCTCTGAGGGTGAAGATGGAAAGGCAGAGGTGGCCTCACTGCATCTTTGTGTGTTGACATTCTGACTTTCTTTGCTGATGGATTGCTAGGCATGTCTTAACTGGATGACCTCCCCTTCTGCTGAGATTCCTTGAGGAGTGCTTTGTTTACAAAAAAATTACTATACACTTAAAACTGTCCTTCTCTAACCTTAAGTGTTTGAAGCGCAGTGTAGCTAATATAAAATCTTTGGCCTGTTCGGCCTCTAGTCAAGACCTTGTTATGTGGCCCAGGCTGCCCTTGAACTTAAGATCCTCTGCCTGAGCCTCCTCAACTCTGGGATGAGACACCACAAGTAGCTTCTGTATTTCATTTTATTGAGTTTTTTTTTTTTTCTTTCACTCATCCTTGCTGCTTTGCATGTGTGTTGTCGTGGGAAGTTGAGTGGGAGCCAGAGTCCTTTGTCTTGTGAGTTATTTGATCTTTTTGTGGTAGGACTTGGGATTTTTCCATATCTTTGAAGTTTAATGGCTTTGTTAGCTGTGTTATCTATTTTTGTAATAAATTAGTTTTAAAAAGTGGTTTCAGAATAACTTTAAGTATATATTGATATTACTGTATCCGCAAGTAATGAATTTAGGGGTCTTTGGTGGTGGCTCTGGGTTTTCTAATGAGGTTTCAGCTGAGTTTTTGGCTTGACCTTAGTCATCCAGAGGCTTGTCTGGGCCTTCTACCCGCACAACTCCTGCACAGACCGGCAGCCTGCTGCTTGATGCATGCCACAGGACCTCTCCATAGGATACCAGTGTACCTTCCCTGGCATGAATGATAAAGACAGTAAAATGCAAGCGTGATGGCTTCTGAACCTGTCCTGTTTTCCCTGCGGACAGGGTTAGGGAGCTTTGTTCTGTTACTTCATATGCATGGAAGCAGGAGTCGCAGCCATCATAACTTGACTTATTTTTTCCTCCTATCCTCGTAGCATCAAATTACATACCTTTTTGATGATTATCTTCCAGAAGAGCTCACTCTCCGATTTTCTCTCCCTGTGGTGAGCTCAATTCTGTTAGTTGTTAGGACAACTTTAAGGTTAGACTTCTTTATGTGTTTTGTTTGTGTGTCCCTGCACGTAGAAGTCAGAGGACACGTTGTGGAAGTTGGTTCTTTTTGTCTGCCATGTCGGTCCTAGGAAGTGAAGTGCTACAGACACCCTCACCCATTGATCCATTGTGCCAGCACAGTGTGTAGGGGTCGTGATGGCTCATTTGGAACAGGCCCACTTTGGCATAGCTTAGAGCCAGAGAAGAGGCAATTTATAGGAAGAATGTGGGCTTACTTTCTGGTTCACATTTTCATTTTTAGACATTCCTCCTTCTGAGTTGAGTCACTGCCCTCCAGGTTCTTCCATGGTGCTGGTTAGATCCTGCCCTCAGCGGAAGTATGTGCAAACCCACTCGCTGCCATTTCTTCCTAAAGCACATCTCTTTTCAGGGCCTGTTTTCTTTTGTTTGCCCTCTAGTCCCTTCAGATACTTTGTTCAGAGTTTATATTGTGAGGGGATTTATTTTCAATGGGAAAAACATCCTGACTCCCCCTTAAAAAAAAGATAATTTGTTTAATGTGTATGGGTGTTTTACTTGCATGCATGTCTGTGCCTCGTATGCATGCAGTGCCCACAGAAGTTAGAAGAGGGTGTTGGAGGCCCTGGAACTGCAGTTACAAATTGTGGGCTGCCATGTGGGTGCTGGGAGCTGAACCTGGGTCCTCTGAAAGAGCAGGCAGTACTCTTAACTGCTGAGCCATCTTCCAGCCTTTAGGGGTTTTGCTTAAGGAATCTATCATTAAGAAATCCCTATTAAAGGGATTTCCTATATTATGCCAGTTACAAATTGCAAAACCACCTGCCCTTTCCAATGCTTCCCTGTGAACAACCCTCACACCAGTTGACAGAATATATTTTAAACATCAATTTTTAGTTCCCCCAGCTAGAATGTGAGTACCTTGAGAGCCTGTTTCTCTTTCCTTCCTTTCTCAACTTCTCTCTCATTCCCTCTCCTCCCTCTCTCCCTCTCTTCCCTCCCCCCCTCGATGTGCTGTCATTTCACCTCCCTGAGCCAGCTTAAATAGAAAGAGTTCATTCTCTGTAGAGGAATATAGAATGAATCAGTGTATTAATTTTCTTCTTTTCCCGTGTCCTTGTAGTGCCCGAAAGGCAGTAGATGAGGAAGAGGAAGCAGCTGAAGAGCGTCGGAATATGCGAACTATCAGGGTGACTGGCACAAAGGTCCTATCTGCGAGGGAAGCAGCAGCCTTAATAGTGGAGGAAGCCAAAGAAATTTTGCAGCAGGACTTAATGGAAATGGGAGTGCGGTGGGAGCCACATTCACCCCTGAGTTCTAGCACACATTCACCGACCAGTAGTGAGTCAGAAGTACTAGAATGCACACTTAAATCCCAAACTAAGAGTCCCCACAACAGGTTAACACTAAAGAGCAGAAGTAGTGCGAGAGCAAGTGGGTCTCGTGGTAAACAGTCACCAGATACAGAGCAAGGCTTAGATGAGTGCAGAGAGCATGCAGACTCCCTCTGCAAGTCCCGGGGGAATCAGGAGAAACAGACACCCTCCATCTGCAGAGCAAGAAAACGGACTTCTTCAGGTCTAAACAAAGACAAGCTTCAAACATCCCTGAATGAAGGAGAACCAAGCACTAAGGAAGTTCCTCAGACTTTTTCATTGGAGAAAAGAAGAAAAACTGCTTTGAGTTTTAGTTCTGAGCAGATGAACAGCAGTTTTCCATCTTGGAGAGACAGAAAGTACCGAAAAAAATCTAGGGGCAGTAGTCCTGTGTGTGACCCTGGGGTGCATAGAAACGATTCACAAGGACAGACTGTGTCTAGATCTGTTCTATGTGAAGACCCGTTTTCCTCAGACAAGCAGAGTACAGAACTTAGGAGTCCAGGGCTATTCACAAATAATGTATCTTTTTGTGCCAATGAAAAATGCAACACAACCTTATTCCCTTTACAAATGCAGCAGCCTTGCTTAAGGAGGAAAACAGAAAGTAATGGTGTTACAGGGCATTCCGTCACAGGAGCGCAGAGTGAAAATGTGAATGGGCAGCCCCCTGGTGATGCTAGAAATAGAAGGGGGTCAGCTGGAGTTGAGATAAGAGAGATAAATGATGTGCCCACAGAGAACGGTGCAGAAGGTCAGAATGTTTCTGTGAAACTCCATAACTCCCATCCAGTTAGCCAGTGCCTGGAAAACCAGTGTGACAAACAGAAAAACACTGGCACCAAACAGAAAGCCTTAATACAGAGACAGACAGTTAGTAGATATATGGCCAGATACTCAAATTATGTTGCAACTATCAAATGTGAAAGTATAGAGCTTAGCAGCAAAGAAAGTCAATCAAATCATTGCCAGGCATTGGGAAATACCATAGGCAGAACTGAAGCACCTAGTGAATTCCTTCCATCAACTAGAGGACTTGATCAAGCAGGAGGCCGGCGTGAGACTCTTCTAAATTCTTCTGGAGCACAAGAAAAAGCAGATGCTTCTGCAACCAGTAAAACTGAACATAATCATGTTTCTAACACAGCCCTCTGTGATTTTGGAGATAGCTTATACCTGGATACTCAATCAGAGAAAATAATTGAGCAGGTGGCAACTGAAAATGCCAAGCGAGGAGCAGAGGCATTAGTGATAAAGGAGAAGGGCCCCAATACTCGGAACCCAGAGTGCTCTTTCCAGAACAAGTGTCACAGCACCCCAGGGGACGAGCATTGCCCAGGAGCAGTTGCCACCCACCGTTTGGACAGTAGGGGTGTAGAGACTGTGAAACAAAGCACTTTAAAGGGCGTTGATAGACTAACTCCAGAAAGCCTTACTTCCTATTCTCCAATACCACAGGGGGAAAATGACCCTGGCTCTAAAGAAAACGAGCGTTCTGTTACTGACTCCCAATTAAACAGTTTTCTTCAAGGTTTTGAAACACAGGAAATGGTGAAAGCAGTCATACCCCCAGCTCCTCAAATGAAAACTCCTGCTGATGTGGAGGAGGAGAGTCTGCCTGAAACCAGTTTGAATATGAGTGACAGTATACTATTTGACAGTTTTGGTGAAGATGGCTTAGTGAAAGGACAGTCACCTGATGGAAAGGCAAAACAGCCCCTCCTTTCTGAAACAACAGCAAACCATTTCAGCAATCCCCCATGCCCACAAGAAGACCCCATTATGAAAGCAAACGTGAACCAGCGTCAGGACGCACAGCAGCCAGTGACTTGGTCCAGTGGAGAATCTATTGTGTTTTCGGAGATGGACTCTGCTCACATGATTGAAGCCTTAGACAACATGGTTGTATTTCATGTCCAGGAGAACTGTGACCCAGTAACCCCTAAGACATTAGAAGTCAGTGACTCTGCAGTGCTGGGTAATGAGTGTCCCCAAGGAGAACTGGTCAGAGGAGAGCAAAAGGAAAGGTTTCCAGAGTCCACACTTACTGAGACAAACCATGATAATTCATTCATGTGGTCAGGGGCATCATTTGACTTAAGTCCAGGACTGCAAAGGATCTTAGATAAAGTGTCTAGTCCTCTAGAAAATGAAAGGCCCAAATTAACACACATAAACTTGTCTTGCTTTGAAGGAAATATCACAGAGTTAAATGAGAGACAGGAAGTAAATTCAGATTTAGGGACAATTCAGAGAACTTCACTTTTCCCCATTAGTGAAGTTAAAAGCAGGCTTGAGGGGCTAGGGAGCAAAGCCAGGCATGGTGGAACCTCCTCTCCCTCACCTTGTAAAGAAAGTGCTGCAGCTGATGACAATGGCCTCATTCCTCCCACACCTGTTCTTGCTTCTACTTCTAAGATGGCATTTCCAGAGATCCTCGAAACACCTGTAAAATGTCAGCAAGCTGGCAATGTTTTACAGCTGGGTGAAAGTTGTTTCTTTGGCTCACCTTCAGAGATCCAAACCCATGATTTAAGCCAACAGCACAGAGACCGCCTCAAAGACAATGGATCTGTTGGAGACACAAGTTTTTTTCTGCAGTTGTCTCAGGATGGATTGCAGTTAACTCCAGTCTCAGGCAGCTCACAGAGTTTGGCCATAATTGATGTAGCGAGCGACCAGACCCTTTTTCAAACGTTTGTGAAGGAGTGGCAATGCCAAAAGCGTTTTTCCATCTCTCTGGCTTGTGAAAAGATTAGAAGTTCAACATCTTCTAAGACTGCTACCATAGGTGGAAGGTTGAAGCAAGGTAAGGCTTTTTTTAGTTTTACTTCTTCTGCACTGGAGTCTTGAAATTAATTTTTTAGATACTGTATATAATTTATTCAAATCGAGTAGGTATATCTATTGAATAAGACTCTCCTAAACCTACTTCTATGTGTAGCTTTTCTGTATTTGGCCCAGCTAGTTACTAGTAATTGCCCTCCATCATAAGAGGTCTCTGCAGCCTATGTTAATATAAAAACAGTATGTTTGGGGTATTATCACACTACTATTTACAAATGGTTGTTATTAGTCATTATTACTCACAAATTGCTTTGACTTCATTGTAAAAGCACACACCATATGGGAACTGTATTTCTCACAAAGTACGTTTAGCTGAGCTTTCCAGGCATCATCTCAAGTAGTAGCCCTTCCGATGACCCTACTGAAATGCTGGTCCCCAATCCTTAGAGCCTTTCTAGCTTTCCAGAATTGAACCTCTGGTTAAATGATGCCATGAACATTTTGTCCCGTGACTGGGGAATAGCTGTGGTCAGCTTGTCAACCTGTGTGGAAATCAGAGGTTTGATTAGATTTCATAAAGCTCTGTGTTAGTGTTTGTCATTAAGGTGCTAGTGTTTGTCTAATCTTCAGTTCTTGGAGCATGTGTGGTAATGACAGAGTCTATGTTCATAGTGTACAGCATTTTCTATCCCCAATTCATGAAGCTTAACAGCCTTCTTATAGAGGCATATACCGCTCACTTAAACTTATATGTATTCTCTTCTTGTGTACCACTGTTGGTTCTGGACCTTTGTAAAATTAAGTAGATGTTAATTTAGAAAAAAATGTTGACTAGCGACACAAAAATTATGCTTAATTGTTCACAATAAGCTCTTAATACCTTTGGCTAAGAATTGGTGAATTTGTTCTAAAAGTTTTAGTTTGTGTGTACAAATGGTGTTAATTTGTATAGAAATTTGAAAAATGGCTTTTTCCTTAGTGGTTTCTAATTAGAGATCTGTCTTAGGTAAGCTGTGGCACATTGTGACAGTTATCTTAACTGATGGGAAATGTAAGAACTGCCTGTACACAGAAGCAGGATGGTGGTGTGCACACCTTTTATCCTAGTGCTCAGGAGGCAGAGGCAGGCACAGCTCTCTGAGCTCAAGGCTGGCCTGGTCTACAAAACAAGTCCAGGACAGCCAAGGCTACACAGAGAAACCCTGTCTCAAAACCACCTTCCCCCTTTCTCCCCCCAAAATATATTTATAATAGCACAATGCAAAAATATATGCTGGGTGACGTGGTGCACACCTATAATCCCAGCACTCGGGGAGGCAGAGGCAGACGGATCTCTGTGAGTTCAAGGCCAGCCTGGTCTACATAGAGAGTTACAGGACAGCTGGGGCCACACAGAGAAATCCTGTCTTGAAAAAACAAACATAAAAGAGCTTACACACACCTGAAAATGATCATCCAAACAATTCATATTTTGGAATCTACAGCTTTTTGCCCACTGAGCATTGTGTTGGCCATTGTATGTTATTTTGGCATAAGCTAGAGTTATCTGCAGACTGAACCTCAGTGGAGAAAACGTCTCTGTCACAGTGCCTCTAGGCAAATCTGCAGGACATTCTCTTGACTAATGATTGGTGTGGGAGGGCACAGTCCACTGTGGGTCCCACCTTTGGGCAGGTGGTTCTGAGTGGTATAAGAAAGCAGGCTGAGCAAGCCATGAGGAACAAGCCACTAACTAGACTTCTCCATGATCTCTGCTTCAATTCCTGCCTTGAATTCCTCCCCTGACTTGGCTTCAGAATAGACTATAAGCTGTAAGCTGAAATAAACCTACTTCTCCAAGTTACTTTCAGTTGTGGTGTTTTCACAGCAGTGGTAAACTTAACTAGGACAAATAAATAGGTTGTTGTTTGCATGTTTTGGAGACAGAGTGGCCATATAGCCCAAGCTGGCCTTGAATTTATAGTCATCTTGCCTCAGCTTTCCAGTGCTTATTTTAAAGTATGTGCCACCACGATGGATGAAGTAAAGGTTTTGGTTATCATACTTTCATAGTTTATGTTTGATTATTGTACATTTTTGACAGTTTTATTTTTGATTCATTTAGTTAGCTCAATGCAGGAAACTACTATTAAAGATGATGGCTTTCCTGTGCATGGCTTTGATGGCACTGTGGTCGTTGGACTAGCAGTGTGCTGGGGTGGAAAGGATGCCTATTATTTGTCACTGCAGAAGGAACAAAAGCAATCTGGTAAGTAAGTGGCATTTGGCTAAGTCACATATGCTTTATGACATCTATTAAGGGAGTCATTTGATTTTCTTTGGAATTATTTGATAATAATTTTCTGATATTACTTAGGCTTTATTTTTAGGATTAAAAATAATTCTTTTGAGAGTAGCTAATGTATGTATAACCACATATATTAAGCAGAATGGATCTCTCTTCCCTTCCTTTATCTGTTTGAAAGATACAAAGCAGGCTCCAGAAATGGCAATGCCACTGACAGTGTTCTAAATGACAGTTTGGGCTCAGTTCAGGCTGGATTCTGGTTAATTAAACAAAGACCTAAATTCCGTATTTCTCAGAAATCTTGGGTTTCTGTTGTAGGAAAAGCCAAAACTTCCCTTATCTTCCTCCTACAGACAGCTACCTTTCGCTGTGGGCATCTGGTATCTGGTTGACCCAAACAAGCCTGTAACAGATCAGGGTCCACACGCTAGTGTCCAGGCTGTTCTTGCCTGCAGCCTACCTCCTGTTACTCTTAGCTTTTAGGTTGTTCTACCTGCACCTGTCCTCTTAAAACTAACAAGGCTTTTCCCACTCTTTGCTCTTCTCTGCCCCTGACAGAAAGCCTAGTAGTTCAAATCTCCAGTCAATCTTTCTATCCAGGGAGTAATGCAGTTTGGTGATTCTGCTGCACCCTCGCTTACATCTTCTATTCCTCCTTTCCTGTGGTGTTAGGGGCTGAACCCAGCGCCCCGCACCTGCTAGGCAAATGTTCTTCTCTGTGCCATGCCCACTGACCAGACACATGTTCTTAGAAACACTTGATTTGCTCTCAACTGCCTGTTACTAGAGGCCATTCACAATAGGCCATGGCAGTTTCTTCTCAGTCTTTCTCTTCCTGTTCATCCAGAAACGGTGTTGAGCTAGAGAACTATGGCCACTAAATTGTGAGACTGTAGGAGGAGCCTTTGGAGGGGAAGGATGCAATGTAGAAATACCTTGGGATCTGATTATGGAGTTCATCCCTTAGCTCTTTGGACAGGATGGCACACATTGTCAGGTCCTGAGCGAAAATGAGATCTCTTCACTCTCTTTAGAGAACATTTGTTGGCTGAGAAACTACTTGAACTTCTTTTATTTTTGATACTTTGATTCTTTGATTTTGGTCTCTTTTTAAAGTTAATTTCTAAAGCGTCTACCTATCTTTAACTCTTTTCTGAAAATACAATTTTATTGTTAGAAATCTTGATACTTAGAATGTTAACCCACATTATAAAATAGAATATTATAAATCTAGTTCAAACCATCATTTTTAGATTATGAAGCCGTTACTTGGAAGCAGATCCTTAGGGTTGTGAATCTTTCTCAGTGTTTCTGCCAAAGATTGCTGCTTTAAATGAATGAGTCTTATTTTTTTTCATTAAGGCTTTGTTTTTCTCCCAAGAAATTAGTCCAAGTTTGGCCCCACCACCTCTGGATCCAACCTTGACTGTGAAGGAGAGGCTGGAGCACCTTCAATCCTGCTTGCAAGAGAAATCTGACAGCGAGCGGTCTGTTGTCGCCTATGACTTCATCCAGAGCTACAAAATCCTCCTCCTGTCGTGTGGTATCTCCCTGGAACCCAATTATGAAGACCCCAAGGTTCTATCTCATGTGTGATTACTATTTACCGCAACATTGTTAACTCTTAGGGATAACTCTTTATATGTATTTAGCCTTAATGATTTAACTTAAAGCTTTCAAACAAGATACTCTTTGTCCAGTAATCTCTTTCACCCAGAATATATTATTGTGTACTAAATGCCTCTGAGGGAAGCAGAAATATCACAAATTCTAAATGAAAAAAGGTCATGTTCTTCCCCAAAAATTAAAAGGAACTTTTGTTTTGGTTACAAGGTATGAGTTTTGATGCCATGGTCAATTAGAAGTAAAATGTTAACTGTGAGGTTTGAGAATATGAGAGCAGGAGTTTTCAAATATTTGTGAAGATGGAGGCAGAATGGAGGAGAAGTGTGTGAATATGAGATATCAAAAGGGAGTGATCTTGGAGCTTGGAGGCAAATAACACCATTAGTCCCTGAGGACAGTTTTGTACAATTGCAAAGAATGGTGTTCTTTATGATGCTGGCTGAGTAGCAAGGAGGGACTAACTTACATTTCTGTAGTATACATTTAACATCTTAATGCCTTACTGAGATTTAGTTCAAGGTACACCATTTCTACCATGCATTGCTAACAGACGTCTGAACTATGCAGTGTGGAACTGAAAATTATACTATTTAACATTTATCAGTAAAATAGTCAAATATAATGTTCTTTCTTTCTTTTATAATTTTAGTTTTGAATGTCTCTCCATTTAATTTGTTGTTGGCTATGGGCTTGCTGTAAATTGCTTTTACCATGTTTAAGTGTATCTCTCCAGGACTTTTATCATGAAGGAATGCTGGATTTTGTAAAAAACTTTTTTGGCATCTGATGAGATAATCATATAGTTTTTCTTTCACTTTGTTTATAAGGTGGATTACATTGACTGATTTTCATATGTTAAACTATCCTTGCATCTCCAGGATGAAGCCTACTTTGATCATGGATGATCTTTTTGATGTGTTCTTTGATTCAGTTTGCAAGTATTTTATTGAGTATTTCTGCATCTATGTTCATGAGGGATGTTCTCTTTCTTTGTTAGGTCTTTATGTTGTTTGGGTATCAAAGTAACTGTGGCCTTATAAAATGAATTGGTCAGTGTTCTTTGTGTTTCTATTTTGTGTAATAATTTGAGGTGTATTGGCGTTAACTCTTCTTTGAAAGTCTGTTGGGATTCCATGATAAAGCCATCTGACCTTTGGCTTTTTTGTTTGGGAGACTTTTCTCCCATTAATTGATTTATTTACTTAACTGATTGAAGCTCCCTCCCTCTTCTCTTCCCAGCGTCATCCTTACACTCCCTATCCTGGCCCAGTTGGGAGACTTTTAATGACTGCTTTTATTTCACTAGAGGTTATAAATCTATTTAAATTGTTTATAAAATCTTGATTTAATTTTGGTAAGTGGTGCCTGTCAAGAAAATTATCCATTTCTTTTAGAATTTTTAATTTAGTGGACTACATGTTTTTAAGGTATGTCTTCATGATTGATTGGATTTCCGCAATGTCTGTTGTTCCCCTTTCCATTTCTGATTTTGTTAATTTGGATATTCTCTATCTTTTTAGTTAATTTGGAAAAGAGTTTGTCTATCTTGTTGATTTTTCTCGAAGAACAACTCTTTGTTATATTGATTCTTTGGATTGTTTTCTTTGTTTCTATTTTATTGATTTCAGCTTTCAGTTTGATTATTTCCTGATGTCTAGTCCTCTTGGATGTGCTTACTTCTTTTGTTCTAGAGCTTTCAGGTATGTTGTTAAGTTGCTCGTTCCGATTTTTTTTTTTTTTTTTTTTACGTAGACACTTAGAACTATGAACTTTTCTCTTAGCACTGCTTTCATTTGGTCCCATAAGGCTAAGTATGAATTTATAAAGTCTGGATATGATATTGGATTTTCATTCAATTCTAGGAAGTCTTTACATTTTTAATTTCTGTCTTGACCGATTTTTCATTCAGTAGAGAGTTGTTCGGTTTCCATGAGTTTGTAGGCTTTCTGTTGTTGATATCCAGCTGTAATCTGTGGTGGTCTGATAGGATGCTGGAGTTATTTCCATTTTCTTAGATCTTTTGAGACTTGCTTTGTGACTGAGTATATGGTCAATTTTGGAGAGAGTTCCATGAGGTGCTGAGAAGAAGGGTTTGTGTGTGTATGTGTGTGTGTGTATGTGTGTATGTATGTGTTTGGGTAAAATGTTCGATAGATATGTTAGGTTCATTTGATTCATAACATCTTTTAGTTTCATTATTTCTGTTTAGATTCTGTCTAGATGACGTGTCCATTGGTGAGAGTGGGGTGTTGAAGTCTCCTACTATTAATGTGTGCAGTTCAATGTGTGATTTAAGCTTTTGTAATTTTTTAAAAACAAATGTGGGTGGCCTTGCATTTGGGGAATAGATTCTAAGAACTGAAATGTCATCTTGGTGGATTTTTCCTTTAATTAGTACATAATGTCCTTCCCTAAGCTGGGCATGTTGGTGCACACCTGTAATCCTAGCACTTGGAGACAGAGGCAGGCAGATCTCTCAGTTCGACGCCAGCCTGGTCTACAAAGTGAGTCCATATAGCCAAGGCTACACAGAGAAACCCTGTCTCGAAAACTTTAACATAAAGTTCTTTCCCATCTCTTTTGATTAATTTTGGTTTGAAGTCTATTTTGTTACATATTAAAATGCCTACACTTGCTTGCTTCTTAGGACCATTTGCTTGGAATATCTTTTCTAACCCTTTACCCTGAGGTGATGTATCCTTGATGAGGTGTGTTGCTTTTGGATATAGAAGAAAGATGGATCCGTTTTCACATCCATTCTGTTACTCTGTATCTTTTTCTTGTGGGAATTGAGACCTATGATATTAAGAGATACCAGTGATTGAAAATTCTTGTTATTTTGTTTTTGTGGTGGTGGTTTGTGTGTACATGGGTATATACATTTCCTTTTTTTGGTTTTGCTAGTGTGAGATTATTTATTTCCTGTGTTTTCATGGGTGTAGTTAACCTTAGTTTCAGTTTTCCCACTAGTATCTTTTGTAGGGCAGGATTTGTAGATAGTGTTTAAGTTTGATTTTGTCATGGAATGTCTTATTTTTTTCCCCATCTGTGGTGATTTAAAGTTTTTCTGGGTTTAGTAGTCTGGGCTGGCATCTCTTGTCTTTTAGTGTTGACAACACATCTGTCCAAGCCCTCTGACTTTTAGAGTTCCCATTGAGAAGTCAGGTATAGGTTTAATAGGTCTGTCTATATGTATTACTTGGTCTTTTTCCCTTGCAGCTTTTAATGTTCTTTCTTTGTTCTGTATGTTTAGTGTTTTGATTATCATCTGTGTGTGTGGGGGTGTTGATTTTCTTTTCTGGTCCAATCTATTTGTGTTCTATAAGATTCTTATATCTTTAAAGGCATGTTCTTCTTTAGGTTAGAAAATTTTTCTTTTTTGATTTTGTTGAAAGTATTTTCTGGACCTTTGAGCTGGGAATCTTCTTTCTTCTTATCCTGTTATTCTTAGGTTTGGTATTTCCGTAGTATCCCAAATTTCCTGGATGTTTTGTGTTAGGAATTTTTTAGATCTAACATTTTCTTTGTCCCGGGTATCCATTTCTTCTATTGTTTCTTCAGTGCCTGAGATTCTCTCCTCCATCCCTTGTATTCTGTTGGTAAAGCTAGTTCCTGTTCACATTCCTAAGTTTTCTATTTCCAGAATTCTCTGAGTTTATGTCTTTTTTTATTGCTTCTATTATTTCCATTTTCTGGTCTTGGACTGTTTTATTCATTTCCTTCAACTGTTTTTTTTTTTTTTTTTTTTTTTCTTTTTTTCCTTAAGGGATTATATTCTTTTCCTCCAATTGTTTGTTTGTGCTTCCCTGGACTTTGTTAAAGGATTTATGTACTTCCTCTTTATGGGCCTCTATCATCTTTAGATAGTTGGTTTTTAGGTCTTTTTCTTGTGCTTTAGCTTTGTTAGAATAGTCAGGCCTTACTGTGGTAGCATAGCTGGGCTCTGGTGGAGACATTCTGGCATTTAGGCATCAGGGTTTGTAGTGATTATAGGTCTAGGTGCTGGTTTCTGGGTTCGGCTTTGTTGGGTGGGCGTTTTGTTGTTTTGGTTTCTCTTTCCCCTCTGGATTTTCAGAGTATGTTGGCTGTGTGTTCCCTGTTTATTGACCTGCTCCACTGGTGTGTTCATGGAGTACTTGCTGGTGTTGGAGGCTTTGGGAAGGAGAGGCCAGGGTAAGGTGGTCTGTGGGATCCATAGTTGGTATGGACAGGTTTTTTGGTTTTTGTTTTTTGTTTTTTTAATAGAGTGGTGGGAGTTTAATTCAGGGGTTTATAAGCACTCTGCCACTAGCTTATCTCCACCAAATGTTTAAATTTCTCTAGGGTTTTGTGTTTTGGGTGAAAAGGAAAAAGACTGTAAACTGACTTTACTAGATAAAGTTATTTAATTTTGATGTTTTGGGATCCAAGCAAGAATATGGGTGCTATGAGTCTCTTATCACAGCTCTAGTAACATTCTAGATTTATATAGCACATTCTCACATTATCATTAAACCTTACACTGCTTGGAATATTCCATTATTTGCTTTTTTTTCATAGTATTTTGACATAAGGAGATAAAATATTCGTTAAATGTTGTTTTAAAATAAGAAAACTTTTATGGCAAATTCTCTCATTCAGTACTCTCCTATAAAACTTTTTTTTTTTTTTTTTGAGACAGGAGTTTACTCTGTAGCCTAAGCTAACTCACCATGTAGTTAACTCATCATGTAGTCCAGGCTGGCCTCATATTCCTAAGCATCATTCCTGCTTCAGCCTCCCAGGTACTAGGACACTGCTGCCAGAACGTCATTCTTGACATACAGAGGAAATAGCTGAGTCATTGTAATTTTCAAAAGGATGTAGAGAGCTTAGATTTGTTTATTGTCAATATAGTTCATGATCTATTAGTCTTAGTATTAGAAACTACAGGCTGCTTAGTCTCACCTGGAAGCTAAAAACCGCAATTAAATAACCAGTTGTTCTGGTGAGAGACATCTGTTTTGGAGGAAAGGCTTTCTGACACACTGGATACCAACTCTTTGTGTGTATGTGATACATGTGCATGTGAAGGTCAGAGGTCAACTCCAAGCATCACTCCCCAGGAGCTCTTTCCACCTTGTTTCGTGAGATAGTGTCTTACTCATTTAGGTAGGCTGGCTAACCATTGGGCCTTAGGTATCTGCCTGTAACTCCCTAGTGCTGAGATTGCAAGTAATACACCACTCTCAGCTTTTTACATTTCAATTTGCAGTCCTTGTGGCTACACAGCAAGTACTTTACCAACTCAGTTCTCTTCTAATCCCTGGAAACTAACTTTTAATGGAAAAATGTGTCTGCATCACTTCTGATGTTGAAAGAGCTGAATAAGATGGGTGGTAATGGCACACACCTTTAATCCCCACATTTGGGTGCCAGAAGCACGTGGATCTCTGTTCGAGGCCAGCCTGATCTACAAAATGAGTTCCAAGTCCACCAGAGCTATTCTAGGGCTACACAGAGAAACCCTGTCTTGAAAAACTAAGAAAAAGACAAAACAAAAAGTAAATTAAAAAAAATGAGACACTTCTGTATTATAATAGCTTAGCTTGAATCGGAGTACAGAAGCCTTGATCTTCATTCCTAGACGTGCTTTCATTTAACTGAGGTACTTGGCTCTCAAGCCCGCTTTAGAGCTAGGCCAGCCAGAGCACAGCAGGGATGGAAGGACCCCTAACTGGATGGCAAGTGAAGGTGCGCTGAGCTATAATGAACTTTCTGTCCTCCCCCTCTAACGTAAACATGCAAAAACTGGCTTTGAGAGAAAAATGGAGACAACCTTCTGATTGCTGTCTCATTCAGGTGGCATGCTGGCTTCTTGACCCAGATTCTAAGGAGCCAACTCTTCACAGCATAGTGACCAGTTTTCTCCCGGATGAGCTCCCGCTCCTAGAAGGAATAGAGGCAGGCGAAGGAATTCAGAGTCTGGGACTAAATGTGAACACTGAGCATTCCGGGCGGTACCGAGCGTCTGTGGAGGCCATTCTCGTCTTCAACTCTATGGATCAACTCAACTCCTCTTTGCAGAAGAAGAACCTGCACGGTAAGAGCAGTGTGGGCAGTGTGTCATGTTACAGGCGGGACCCTGCACCCACAGTGAGCCCTCCGTGAGCACAGCTGGGTAATTACTTCTGACTTGCAGACTGCAAGGTCTACCACAGTCCTCATCTGTGGTAGTGATCTCAGCAATCACTAGTGCTTCAATGACCTACCCTTAGCCACCATCCATGGGTTTGGGGATCTGTTCAGGAGACTGGATTTGATTGACAGCTTGGGTAGCTGCTGTGGATTGTCTTGCACCAGTTCTTTGTGGCTTCGGCAATGCTGATCGCTCAGGCCATGACTTAACCTTTTCATTTTCCATTTTCCCTTTCAGACATTTTCTGTAAAGTGGAGATGCCCTCTCAGTACTGCCTGGCCTTGCTAGAACTAAATGGAATTGGCTTCAGCACTGCGGAGTGTGAAAGTCAGAAGCATATTATGCAAGCCAAGCTGGATGCCCTTGAGACTCAGGCCTATCAGCTAGCTGGCCACAGCTTTTCCTTTACAAGTGCGGATGACATCGCACAGGTAGTGTCTTGCAAACAGAGACACTGGGAGGAACTCTTCCGAGTTAAAATGACGTGTGTCACAGCTCATCTTGCTGAAGGCACACCAGTTCTAAGTGTCAACACTTAGTAAAATGAAACGACTAAGTAGAATCATTGGGAAGAGTGTTGAGGTGCCAGGCAACAAGTCGCATCTATCTCTCTGAGATAGGAAGGTTGTAAAGGGGACGCGGGTGTTGCTCCAAGCATCGGCCTGCATCCAAGCAGGCCTTCTCTGAGCAACCGTTGTTCTGTGCTTAGTGGGGGCAGCTCATGACAGTGTAGTGTGGCTGCATGATGCTGGTTCCTTCATAAGCACTCTCCCCTTCCTTATTCCAGCATCTCCCTTCAGAGACAGAGATTGGATATTCTTCTGAGATGAAAATTAAAACGGGATTTTTGTGACTTTTTTTTTAACCCTAATTTAAGATTTTTGTAACTTTACTGAAATTTTGACAAATTTCATTTTTATAGGTTGGTATTATTTATTTTTTTTCTCACCATATTCTTACCCGTGTTTATTCACTGAAGAGTACCTAACCGTCCTGGGTTTTCTATATGCAATCTAGTAATGTAACAGTAAAGATCATAGGTTGTAGAGTCTGACTTCTGGGTTTGCGTTCTGCTTCCCCCATTCATTACCCATCTGCATGACCTTGGATCAGAGTAGTTAACACATCAGTTCTTTATCAGTGAAATGAGAGTCATGATTTAAAATGCCTCATGAGGTTGTGGCAATGGCGTAAAATATAGTTACTATCACATAGATGGTAAATGATGAGTAAATGGTACAAACCCTGATAAAAATGCCCCTGTTAAGCTAGAGGGTTCTATATTTTAAAGAACACGAGAAACTGTTTTTCTGTAGCCTGTGTTTTATCTGTATTAGGTCCAGTGGTGCTATCTTGGGGCATTCTTTGTGGAGGATGGGGTGTGTTTTTCTGAATTTTCTAGCCCAGAAGCCTCTATACATACACGCACACGCACGCGCGCACACACACACAAACACACACAGGTGACTGTGTATAACATTGCACAGGGCACTTATCAAAACCAGAATATGTGGATTTCAACACACATGACACGAAGCAAACATGGATTCATGATTCATAGCACCAAACCAGGTGACCAATTTTAGTTTCCATGGGGTCCTGCCTCTGTATCTCTGGTTTAGGAGTGCTCATTTACCAACCTTCAGTAAACCAGGCTTCAGGTGAGAGCAGATCTTTGATGCATTCAGTGGCTGTTGCCTGGGTCTTTGTTTTAAAGTGAGGTGAGGTAATTGATATATAAAATTTTCAGTTAATTCTGAAAATTTCACCAAAGAGAGAAATTTAAGATAAAGAACTTCTAAACAGATAAGTTAGATCTTTGTGTTGACTTAACTGATTGTTCATCTCTTCTAGGAGTGTTTGTGAATGCTGATAATATTCCACATTTCCTATCCTTTCATTCATATACCTACTGAGATTTATTGATAAAATATACGCTGCATTTAAATCTTAAATTTTGGAAAAAAACAAATTTGGTATAACTGTGTTCTATGCAGTTAGAATTTAACCGTGTAGTCCTGTAATTTTTCTTGCTAGATGTGGCAACCATCATCCATATGCATGCATCTATTTATATTTGTGTAACACAGAGTTTGAGAGTAAGCCTCAATGCCTGTCATTTCTAAGATTCCAGCTGCTGCTACAGTTGTGACCTGGAGCATATATCTTAGTTGTTATCATTACTGAGGAAGCCATAGGGTTATCCTTTTCTCCACTCCTCAGCCAACTTGTAGGAAAAAATTCTTTTTCTTATGTAAATTGTTTCCATTTTTGGAACTGTTACTGGAAAAGTAGTTCAATATTAATTAAAAGCCATCCAGGGTATATAAGCAAATGATTAAGTACCGTCAATACAGTTCTGAGTTGCTTAACTGTAAGCCCTTCTGATTTGAGTTAGTGAGGGCTTGGTTACGCGGGGTTCTTAGCTCCGCAAGCCACTCAGTAGCCTTCACTGTTGCCACATTGGATTAACCACCTTCTTCTAGCGTCTGCGTCTAGGGACTTCTGTGGCCGAGTGTTATGGTGTGATGGGATGGCTTTCCTGATTGTCTCTGCAGTGGTGAAACGTAGTAGCCTCTTGGGTTTCCTTCAAGAGTCCCTTCGGAGTTCAGTTGTCAGAGCAACCCAAGCCTTAGCGGCAGTAGCTTAGCTGTCAGTGCTTGGCCTGGCATATGCATGCCTGTGCTCTTGTAAGGGTCTCCCCATAGCTCCCAGCCCAGGCACCGTGAGAAGCATGGGCATTGCTATTGCTGACCAAAAGTGATTGCCCAAAGCAACACCCTTCCAGCTCCCCATGTTAAACTGTAGTAGAGCTTATACCCTCAGATAGCTGTTAAAGCATAATCTTTGAGTGATAGTAACTTGACTGAAAAATATTAATTTTTGCAGGTTTTATTTTTGGAACTAAAGCTACCACCAAATGGAGAGATGAAAATGCAAAGCAGCAAAAAAACTTTGGGTTCTACCAGACGAGGGAATGAGAGTGACCACAAACGAAGGCTGGGAAAACGGTTCAGCACTAGTAAGGTGCTTTGGGGTTGCTCACAGGGCAGGGTGATCCTCTGCGGGCCCTGCATTAACTGGAGAGAAGGGACGATGGGCTTGGTGTACTGGTGTTCCGTTGGGAAATGGGGCTAGAAAATGAAGCCACATTGGCTGTGGAGAGCTGCCCAGTTGCACTTCTGTGTGATTTCGACCCTAGCGTCATTATGAGCAACTTGTCTGCCTTAGAAAGTGTCCACAGTTCTGTCTCCTGGCACAGCTCTTTGTTAGTCTGGTGGGTCATTTTGACTCTAGTTTCTCTTCATTAAGGACCATGGCTAAGCAACATCTGCTTTTAAGTAAATGCCTCCTGAGGCTTTTGATACAGAGACTCTGTATCAGGGCAAGGAGGAAGACTGCTCGGATGTGTCCAATCACTGCAGAATGGAGGAGGAAGGGCACAAAGAAAAGAAATGCTGAAACTTTGGGGAGATGCTTCATGAAACGGAGGCTCCATTGGTTTCTCATTTAGAAGGAAGCTATAAATGGGTGCTGTTCAGCATTTTCATATTGCTGTCTTATCAGCTGTACTTGCTGACTTATTATAGTGACATCTACACTACAAACACCCAGCGATTCAGAGTTGTGGATATAGAATTTATCAGACTAAATTTTAGATATCTATATTTACCCAAGAGACATTTTGATTTTCTATTGAATTTGGACAAAATTCCAACTTTACCTTGTTATATTTCTTTCCAGGATGTTTTAAATAAATTAAAGGCCTTGCATCCTTTACCAGGCCTGATATTGGAATGGAGAAGAATCACTAATGCTATTACCAAAGTGGTCTTCCCTCTGCAGCGGGAAAAGCGCCTGAACCCCTTTCTCAGAATGGAAAGAATCTACCCTGTATCACAGTCACACACGGCTACAGGTGAGGAGAATGTGAGAGATGAAATGTCTAGTTGTGAAGAACGATTTTCATATGTGATATTTGCTTGTGCTAGCCCAGGAACCCAATTTGCATCCCTGTGAAGCTCCTCTTAGAAAGCCTCGCAGCCTGCACACACAGCTGGACGGCACGTGGATGCTAGAAGAGTGAGGGAGAACGCCTGTAAGAGGGCTTTCTCAGCAGCACGGGCACAGGATTGTGTTGCATTGTTTCCAGAGAACTAGCTTAGTGGTGAGCATGTGTTGTAGCCGATTACTTTCAAAAGCATCTTGTGCTTATTTTATCACTGTCAATCATATAAAAATTCAAAAACTTTGACTAGTCTATTGTCAACACGCCTTTAAAATCTTTACATGTGTTGGTTGTGCGTATGCGTGGTACATACATGTGCTTGAAGTCACATTTGTGGAAGTGAGTGGGCAACTTGTTGGAGTCAGTTGTCTCCTGTGTGGGCTCTGAAGGCTTACCTCGCCCTGTCCGCCTGGGAAGCAGGCGCTCTCACCACTAACCTGTCCTGCCAGCCCCCACTAGATTCAAAAAGATCATTCTAAGGTACAGAAACGGTCAGTTGGTTGCTTCTCAGGTTTATTTTTCTAATTCTTTTTCTTCTTGATTTTTAGGACGGATAAGCTTTACAGAACCTAATATCCAGAATGTGCCACGAGATTTTGAGATTAAAATGCCAACACTAGTAAGAGAAAGCCCACCTTCTCAAGCTCCAGGCAAAGCCATGCTTGCAGTAGCCAGGTAGATTTTATTTCTCTGTATTGACATTATTTTCTTGTGAGTGTGATGGCTCAGAAAGACCCTATTGTATAAAACAATTCAGTACAGCCAAGTTTATATTCTAGATATACCATTTTGGTTCTAGACATTATCCATTTCACATTTTATGATGATGAAGCTGGTTGATGATAAAGGCTGCAGACCTCCTTCACTAGAGTCAATGCTACTACCATTGTGTGCTTTGTGAATATAGAAGTGGAGAGGCCACCCGTTTCAGCAGTGTTCCCTGCCCCAACATTTACTTGATAAAAGGAAGAGCCTATGTAGTTTACCTTGGGTCTGGTTAGAGATTTGTGGAATTAACTTGGGAGGAGGGGGTTTGTCTCAGAAGCAGTTCATGGGGAGGTGATTATAGAAGGGCCTTCTTGTTGTACTGAATGTTTGCTAACACAGGTCTAGTGTCCTAAAGTTTAAAGAGGGTTTCAGGTTAGGTCATTTAGGCATCTTGAATGGAATTTAGGTTTGTTTGTTTTTGTTTTTGTTTTTTTTTTAATTGGAAATCAGACCTTTCTTGTATCTGAGATTCACCATGTTCTAGCTGATGATTTTATTTGTACTGCAGAGGACAAAATATGGTTTATGGCCTGCACTCTGGGCATGGGACACTGATGGAGGATAAGGCCTCAGACAAAGGGGTACCATTTTCAGTGAGCATGCGTCACGCCTTTGTGCCTTTCCCAGGTAAGGGCAGCTCCACGTTGCTGGGGGTTGTTTACGGGAACTGGGAAGTCTGAATTGTGAGTAGGATGCAGAGGTGGACATTGTGCCCTCTACCTTTCCTGTGCTGGATGCTGTGCCTGCCCCAGTACCACTGTGGTCCATCTCAGTAGCTGCTGGGTGCTGATACTGTCGGTAAGCCTCTGCAAAATGTAGCTGATTCTGTCCGTCCTCATTTGCCTTTGCTTCTTTATGGGGTTTTAGTGATAGTGAAGTAGCTCTCCTCACTTTTCCTCCATTGGCTTGGAATAGCAGAGTTGTGGGTTCCTGCCTGTCTTGTTGGCTCCTGTGTTTGCTGCTGTCTATTCACATCTGCCTGTTTCATGAGTGGCCTCCAGTCCAACTGCAGCCTTAAGTCATACACCCTTTTGCCATCAAGATGCCTGGAGGTTGTAAGCCAACTCCTTAATTATCCCATGGTTACTGTGCCATTTTCTCTTCATCTTTTGCCAGTGGGTAGTCCAGGAAAATGAAATTGTTTCGAGTTCTGTCAGAAACTTCCCCTCCACGATGAACTCGGTCTGATGAGGTAACTTTGCTGACAGCTTGGCTTGTTAAGAATGAACTAGCAGCATATAAAGTTCAGTCTAACGCCAGGGAGTCTCAGCTGTGCGGCCGAAGGGATTTCCAGTGACAGTCCCATAGGCCTGGCTGTCTCCTTTAGTTGTAGAAGACGCAGCATGGCTGATTTAAAAGTCGTACTGCTCAGTAGGAATGTGAAGCTCATGATTTGAGGTTTCCTGCTGCCACATGGTGCAGATTTCCCAAGTCCCAGTGTTTGAAGATTCTCCCCACGTGCTGCAGAGCACAGGCCTTTGTTACAGCAGCGTGTGGTAAGCACACAGGGGTGGGGGCTCCCCAGGTGTAGTCTGACTGACCAGAGCTCTGGAGGAATCTAAGCAGCAGTATCTGAGGGCTTGATCTTGGTTTAGAATTCATAAAATTTACTCTTAAAATGTAGACTCACATGCTGAAATTGTTTTAAACAGTTCTTAAACTTCTGGTAGCTGAATTCAGTACTAAAAAGGTTTTTAAAAAAATTATTGAATCTCCATTGACATGGCAGGTTCATGTTTTTTTTTTCTTTGGAAGGGTCACTTTAAAGGATAAATGTATCTATGACCCACATTAGTTGCAAAGGGATTCCTGGTTTTGTTCTGCTGCTCATTTTATTCCCAACTCCTTTCTAAATTCTTACCCGTTCTGGCTGTCTGCCTGACAGGCCCAAGTTCTAGTGTCAGTTTCCTCAGATGAGAGGGAACACCTCATCCTGCAGGGTTCTGGAAGTGCAAGCATTTGGAAACTTCACAGTTGCTCACCCTGTTACCTGCCTTCTCAGTTACACCTCTGAGACTTCATTGTCTGCTCTTTAATTTCTAAAACTGTTGTTTTGGAGCTGGAGAGATGGCTCAGTGGTTAAGAGCTGTGGCTGTTCTTCCAAAGGTCCTGAGTTCAATTCCCAATCACATGGTGGCTACAACCATCTCTAACTGTAGTCCCATGGGATCTGATGCCCTCTTCTGGTGTCCAAATGTACGTGCACGCAAATCACCAATATACATAGAAAAACAAACAAACAAACAAAAACCCAGTTATTTCATTAATATAACTATTATATATTTGCCAGCATTCCTTTTGTAATATATATAGCTTTGGCTATGTAATCTTTTTGGCTTTGACCGAAGAATTATCATTCTGTAAATAGTTCTGTATTTGAGCTTTTCATCTAACCTTTTTGTAATAAAGGCTTGTGCTTATCAGTAAAGAAATGGGAGTAGATGGAAGTGGTGGTTGCACCTTTAATATCAGCAGAGGTAGGGAGATCTGTGAGGTGTTGGCCAGTGATAGCTACACAGTGCATTCTTGTTTCACAACAAGAGATGGGACAATAAGCCAGCTTATAGCCTGTGTGTGCTCCATTGGCAGCAGCATCTGAGTTTGTTTGCCGAGACACAGACTAACATCAGCTGGATTCTGTCTGTGTCTGCTTGCTGCCTGGTGGGCAGGAGGCTGCCCTTTTGCTTCCCAGGAGTAGCATACTAGAGTCTCTTGCACGCTTGCCTGAGTGTGTTGTGCAGACTTCTGGATGCTGCAGTTTCATGTGAGGGAAATTTATTTCTGGCTATAGGTTTAATTTCCAGTCCTCTTATTATGAGTGAAATTCAGCATTTTTATTACAGTTGAGGGTCTTCTGCCCCTATCATTTCAGTGAACTTACTTATAAAGTCTGTTATTAACCACTTGTCCTCTGTGCTAGCAGTTAAAAACATCTTTCCTACTTTGATCATAGTCTTTGTTTTTGTCCTGCACATCTTATGAACTTACTTGTAATCCATAAAAAGCTTGTCTTATTTTCTTAGTATTCTTCCTCTCCTACTGCTAACTTGACCTTTTTCGATAAATGTTTCTGCTATTATTTGGACTGAATCATAGTTTACTGAACACCAATTTGTTCGTCACTTATTTGTTCAACAGCCATTTGTTTTTTGTTTTTTTTTACAGAGATTAAGTATATTTTTTCTTTTTATTCTCTTACATACTATACCCGATTGCAATTTCCCCTCCTTCTCTTCCCCTCAGTCTTTCCACTCTACCTCGCCTTTCCCCAGATCCACCATCCTACTCTTTTCTCAGAAAAGAGCAGGCCTCTCAGGGACACACCAACCAAACTCAGCATAACGAGTTACAATCAGACCAGGCATATATTCTCCCATCAAGGCTGGATGAGGCAATCCAGTAAGAGGAAAAGGGTAGTAAAGGCAAACAAGAGAGTCAGAGACACCCCCACTCTCACTGTTAGGAATCCCACAAGAACAGGCTATACAACCATAACATAATATTCAGAGGACCTAGGACAGACATGGCTCCCTGATCTCTGTGAGCCCATTTGAGTCCTGTTATCAACAGCTATTTCTTAAGGGCATATTCTATGAAATGTTTTCTGTAAACCTATTGTATATAAAATTTCCTGTAGAACAAAGGGAAATTTAAGGCTCTTACCCTGAGGAGTGGGAGAAGCATGAGAGAACTGTTGTAGATTTGTGTTAGGTATTGGGAACACTGAGCAGGGCTCCCACAGTCAAGGGACAGATGTCAGGGGTGGTTTGGTATATATTGCATATATATATAATGAAAACTTAAAATATCACGATGCACAGGAATGAACTATATTGTACTTGAAATAAGGCTCTCACATTTGAACACATGACCTTAAAGTTAGAAAGCAATGTTTCTGTCCTCTTGCTGAGCTGTAGTCTGTGGAGCTGTGCTAGCTTGTAAAGTGGGTGTGCTTTTCAGGTGGCTTAATATTGGCTGCCGACTACTCTCAGCTTGAACTGAGGATCCTGGCTCACTTGTCTCGTGATTGTCGCCTCATCCAAGTCTTAAACACTGGAGCAGATGTGTTCAGGAGCATCGCCGCCGAGTGGAAGATGATTGAGCCTGATTCTGTAGGCGATGATCTGAGGCAACAAGCAAAGCAGGTGAGCTGAGTGGATGAGCTTCATAGAAACAAAAGAATGAATTAAATGCTCACGACACTTCAGCTTGTCCGCTAATTTCAGTTGAATGCTCTCTGGATCTTTCAAGTCGCATTCATTGGAGTCAATCTCTCTTGTGGTGTTCGTTGTAGGGTCCCCCTCCCCCAACACAGTGGAAAGAACCACTCAGGTCTCTGGGCAGTTATTGTCAAGAAAGTACTGTATATAAGTCTATTCTGTGGCTAGTCATGGTGTGTGGTGTTCAGTATGCATTTACTCGCCAGGGGCGGGAACAGTGAAGGCAGCTGTTACACAAGAGGAAGAATGTGTGTTTTACATCTCTGATCAGTGTCTTGGCAGGAAGTTCCATATTTTCATGTTCATATTTCCTTACAGCATCTCGCCAAAGTGCTTTTTATGGAAGGCAGTCTCTAATGTTTTTGAATAGAGTCGGATTGTAATGAATGAGGGAGCTTTGAGCAGCTGTTCTTGCATTTTCACAGTGGGTCACTCAGTCACAGACGAGACAAAGGCCATGTGACCATCTCCTGGCTGGATCCATACCAACACTTCCTAACCACACACCCTGTGGGAAACCAGATGCCATTTTCCAGGGACCTGCTCTTTCTAGGTTCACTTCTTCATGGACTTAGCTGGCATGAAATGGTGCTTTAGCTGCAGCACCTGTCCCCACTGTTTAAAAAGCTAGCTCTGCTCTTCTGAATCTGCATGTAGCGGAGTCAAACTGTTAGTAATAGAGACAAAATGTTCCTGTAATGAAGCTTTCTAGGCAGCTCCGGAGACAGATACCATTTATACCCCTGTTATAGGGGAGGGAACAGACACAGTGTTAGAGATTTCTTTACACTCAGTTTTAAGTGGTGGAGTCAGCAGGAGTACAGAACACCAGGACATCTCTCCTCTGAATCCAGTTATCCAGGATGATGCGGTCGGTATGCATCAGTGCTTGCCTGACTCGACAGTTAACGTGCTAGAACAACATTTGACACGCACCGAGTGATCTAATCCCCAAGTCTTGCTGAGATCTCAGACTAAGTCATACAAGCCAAAGCAGACAAGCAAAGTGCTAGGAATCACAGTGGAATAGTGTTAAAAGCTGAAAGGAAGACTAAATGGAGGTTTAAAGTAAAAAAGCTTTTGGCCAGGTATGGTGGCACACACTTCCACACCCCGGGGCAGAGCCAGGCGTGGTGATGGGGGGGGGGTCATTCTGATTTCAAGGTCAGTCTTGTTTATAAAGCAAGTCAGGCCAGCCAGAACTACATAATGAGATCCTATCTCAAAGCAAAACTAAAAACCCCCATAAAATATGTTAGAAATAGAGATAGGATCCCTTTAGTGTGTCATGTTAAAAGTTTTTAGAATTATGATAAGCATTTTGTCTGATAAGCAGTTTGTCTTCTAACATTTTATTTAACATTCATATGGAGCTTGTTTTGTGTCAGCTTCCTAAATACCTGCAGGTCATCAGTTTTTCTTGCAACAATCTCATGATACAAACACTTCACTTTTTGGATGAAAATGTTTGGCTATAAAGAGGTCAGGCGGCTATGGCAAGATCATGCATGACTCCAGACAGACATTACCATTAACTTATGTAGTTCATTGCCTCTACTACTTCAAAATTTACTTCCAAGGTTTTCTTTATACTTAATGCAGATGAATTTTGAGTTTGTGGATGTTAGACTTTAGGCAGCTGAGAGTTGAAGATATTTCTTTCCAGGGAAGTTTCCCCTATTCTCAAGGTGTTTGCTCCTGTCTTACCCATGGGCAAGGACAGGAATATTTGCAAAACTTTCTTTCCAGACTTCTAGGCACTTCCTCAGCAGACACCATTGAGATACTCTGGGGAATAATACCTGCTCTAATGGCTGGCGGATAAAAAAACTGAAATCAATCTTATTTTGACGGTTCCCTTCTCCCATTCGATTCACTCATATGTTCACATACAGAGTAATGTTCAAAGGCAAAACAGATGCATACTGGGTACCAACTTCTGTGGGTCTTAACCCACAAGCTGATCTAATCATTCCTTTGGTTCACTACAAAGTAAAAAGTTTATGAAGGTATGGATCCTAGTGAACACTGTATACTTCCATTTTGTCTAGTTACGACCTCCAACTTACTGAATATGATGGCTGTCTTTCAGATTTGCTATGGAATTATATACGGCATGGGAGCTAAATCTTTAGGCGAGCAGATGGGCATCAAAGAAAACGATGCTGCTTGCTACATTGACTCTTTCAAGTCCAGATACACAGGTAAGAAGTTAAACTCGGGGTTTATAGCTGCTCATCACATTAAGTAATTTAATATTATAGAATTATTAAAATGTTTATTAATTAGAAGTTTTACCAGGAATCCTTGAGGGCAAGTAACATGCAGCTTGCTGGCAGCATTCATTAAGCTCGGCTTGTGCAGATAAAGGCAGGGTCGGGGTCCTTACTGTCTGTGCCTGCCTCCAAAATGTAGGCGCTGACTTGTATTTTGGGTTTAGATGGCTTTAGAATTGACATTAAAACAGTTATCAACTGTATAAGAAATTCTGAGTTACTGTTATGGAGTGGTTTGGATACTCTAAATTATCTCTTCTTTTAAACGTTTATTAAAATGTAATGTAAAGTCACTGTTTTCATATACATCTGTGAAGTTTGACAAATGTATGTCGTCATAAACTCTGTAATTCAGCTAAAATACAGAAGATGGGGAGGGGCATTGGGAAGGGGAGGAAGGGGGAACTACAGCTGGGATGTAATATATGAGAGAAGAATAAATAAATAAAAAAGGAAAAGGGGCAGTCAGTGTGACCCCTTGAAAAAAGTCTGTGCCGAAGAGAGGTTTGTATTGTTCTCCAAGATGGAAGTCACAGTGCTCAAAACGCCACTGGCCACATATCCAAAGCACTGCCAGGAAGAAAGGCAGAATGGGTCTATGCAGAGATGAAAGGCTCTGGGACGAAGAGTCAGGAACACCTCTGTAACCTTGGCCATTTTCTGAACCCGTCTAAGCCTTCATTTTTAGATACTCAATGACTCTAGGAATCCTGGTCCTAGAGACTTGCTATTGTAAAGCCATAATAACTGTGCACTGTAGATAACTCATCATGTTTGAGATAGCCATAGGCCTTATGTAAATAACACTGAACTAGAGACCCATGTTCTCACAGCTTCAGTTCCTTTCAACATCCTTGGCAGAGAGCAGCCATTAAGAAGCAGAATGTATTTATTGCTCATCTTCTCAGATCTTCCAAGTAAAATGTCAGCTCTAGTTTGGGGCTCACTCCCTGTCCTTGATATGGAGGCAGAGGGGAGAGCATCTAGAAGTAGTATTGATCCTCTGATGAGCCAACAAGGGAGACCGAAGTAGCCTTCAGCGGGTGCTGGTCACCAGTAGAGGACAGAAATTCTCATGGCTGAAAGCAGGCAGTCCCTGCTTAGTAGAGGTGATTGTTGGATTGAGATACTTACTTTAGTGTTTTGTTTTTTTTTTAAACCACTCTGTGTCTCTAGATTTTTATTTTACCCCCTCAAATTTGAATAAAAATTGCCACAAAACTTGCAAAGATAGAAGACTTTGTTTAAAATAAGTAAAAGTGATGACATTGCTATATTAGAATCACAGCATGTTTTAAGAGGTAATCCAGTGAAGTTTTTCAGATGTCACTGACCTTCTGCAAACTATATGTCTGTGTGTGGGTTTGGGGCTGTGCATATTCTGAGGCATTTTATAGATGGCTGCGAACCCCCAAATTTGGAGTTGAAATTTAAGGAGTATGACAGATAAATGGAGAGGGGGAAGAGATTGTGGGAACCCCACTTTCGGGAGCACACGGACATGACACCTTCAAGTATGTTCAGGGTTAGAACATAGATGAGCGCAGATGATCGGGTGGTGGTAGTATGTGACAGATAAGAGTGAGGGCTGCTGTCAGCAGTCGGAACAAGAATGAATAAAACCAGGAAGCATGGTGGGATTTTGTTGTATTGAAACAGTGGATGACACGCAGGATGGACTTGGTTGTAATTGTTTCTGTATTTTCTTTGTAGGGATTAATCATTTCATGAAGGACACAGTGAAGAACTGTAGAAGAGATGGATTTGTTCAGACCATTTTGGGAAGACGTAGATATTTGCCAGGAATCAAAGACAACAATCCTTACCATAAAGCACATGTATGTTGAAATTTTTCTGAGTTTTAACATTTCAGTGACATTTACTGTTCAACAAAGATTGTGATGTTCCTTTTAGAAACATTACATAATTTGATTTTCTGAATAAAGAAAGTTGGCCATTGGTTTTATAAAAGGGCTTTTGGAGTGATGACACTGTTTTGGGGGGAAGGTTAATTAAAATAAATATCTGGTCAGTTAATACTTCAGGATAATTATTTATTAGCTATGGTGACAAGTTGTAAATAAACATTTTTTTCAGTTCTGTTTTGAAGCAAAGCTGTTAAAGCCAAACTATTTTTTCTCATATATGTGTGTGTGATTATACACACACACGTGATTAGAGTGGTATTGGCTTTGTGCTGCAACCTGATAGTTTACCAGTCCTTCTGGTTAGTTCCTGATACCAGATGTATTTTTCCAGCCCTTCAAGTCTGTGAGAAGAGCTTGTCAACTTCCTATAACCTTCTGATTCCTGGTTCTAGAGTCCGCTGATTACTCCAAGAGAAAGAGTGACTTCCAGTTCCAGGACTGTTCCTTGCTTTCTCCTGATTGCTAACTGATGTAAGAAGACCCACCCTCAGTGACACCTATCATTAAGCCACCTGCAATTGTCTTTTATAGGCTGAACGTCAGGCCATCAACACAAGAGTTCAAGGGTCAGCTGCTGATATAGTCAAAATAGCCACAGTTAACATTCAGAAGCAACTAGAGACCTTCCATTCAACCTTCAAATCCCATGGTCATCGGGAAAGCATGCTCCAGAATGACAGAACAGGTTTGTCTGTCAGTGAGGCACTTGCTGGGTCTAACATGGTGAAAAGGATTGTACCCAAAGGTGGTTGTGTGGAGGGCAAATTTTATTTCTAAAAATCCTTGAATATTTTGATACTGGCTAACTTTTTACTCTTGGAAATTATTAATGATATCAAGGATTGATAATTTATGCTATAGTTACCATTATTGGAAATTAAAGAATTTGAAGCTTGCTTTAACATTTTTAGATAAGGTAATTAAAACTAAACCTTTCAAAAAAGAGGGAGCTGAAGAGATGTCTCAGAGGTTAGGAGGGCATACTGCTCTTGCAAAGGACTTAAGTCCAGTCCCCATCACTCACATCAAAAGGCTCACGGTGGCTTGCAACTCCAGCTCTAAGGATATCCTCCAATACCTCTGACCTCTTTAGGTCCCTGTACTCACATACACATGCCCACACCTGTGCACATAACTAAAAATAAATCTTAAAAATAATAACATAAACAACATGTTTTTATGAAAGTAAATCTTGGAACAGAAAAAAATAGTTCTGAGTTACTTTTTGTATTTCTGCGAGTCCCTTTAATGTCTGACTTATAAAAAGATGGATTCCTGCTTCTGTACCATTTTGTATTACTGTGATGTCTACAATGATAATACCTGAGTTTTAGAATACTAATGTGTTTCCCAGAATGCGCGGTTTGAGTCCTGGCCCAGGATGGTTAGTGGTCTTGCTGTAATTTATGAGAGGTAACCAAAAAGCAAACCCAGCAAAAAACAAAAACAAAAAACCTGGCAGTTCTGTTGTGAAAGTCAGCTTTATTTTGCACATGCGAGAGTCCTCTGTGGCCCAAGACCACATTGGAAACCTTGGTGACGGTCCCTATTTATGATCTCCACACAGTCTGTTGCCAATATTGCCGTCTTGTCTTTTGTTGTTGATGTTTTTATTTTTAAGATACTTTCAGGTTCTATTCCTTATTTCTTGGATAAGTTATGTGTTCTTCTAGTAACTATGCAGAATCTTCCTTTTTCTTCTGTTACATGACCATAGTTTAAGTGTTGTGTGTCAGAGCGAGTGAGACATCAATCCATGACCACAGCCTTTTTTTTAAAAAAATCTTCCTTGAGAAAGTTGAGGTTTAGTGTATAGAGGGCAAGGATAAGCTGCTGGGCCTGGGCAGAAAAGATAACAGTTCCAGATGGAATTAGCTGCTTCCAGAAGAGATTTGTTACTAATATAGGCAGTTACATAGTCAGGTGGGAGATTTAGAAGTAGCCGCTTCTTGCTTCTCAACCTGTGGCTTAAATGGAAAATCTTGTATACTGAGGCTAAGATGCAAACTCTGAATGAAACTGTGTGACTCTTTTGAGCACAGTGCTGGGTGTCAGAAGCCCCACAACAGCACCTTTGAAGCTAACCAGAAGTCAGGTGGATCACTGAAGATGGTGCCATGCTGAGTTAAAGGACTTAAATCGTTGAGATCCAAGGATGCAGAGAAGACAGGGAACAAGAAATTCATAGTATTCTGGGTCAGAAGCTAGAGGAAATGGCAAGGACAAAGTTACAATCAGAGAGATGAAAAATTAGGGCATCCAGGGCAATGAATGGTTCTCAACCTAATGCTGTGGCCCTTCAGCACATTTCCTGGTGTTTTTTTGACTCCAACCATAAAATTATTTTCCTTCTACTTTGTAACTGTAATTTTGCTGGTTGTGAATTATAATGTGAATATCTGATATGTGATCTCCGTGAAGGGTGTTTGACCCTAGAGCCGGCATGACCCACAGGTTGAGAACCACTGCTCTAGAGAGTCCACGTGTGGTAAGTGGTCATGACACAGCAGGCAAATCTCAGCCCCGCTGACACACAGACAGGTTTGCAGCCGTGCTGTGGAAGAAGCTTGTGGGCTTAGCAGCTATCTTCATTCTCCAGCCTCCTCTGAGCAAACTGAGGCTGCAGGCAGTCAGTAGCAGTTAAGAGATTTTTAAGAGAAGAAGCAGATGTGGGAGGAGGTAAAACTTATTATTGGGTCTGAAAGATAAGTAGGAACCTTGTATGGCAGAAAGGAAGGATGCTCTGATATTGAGCACATGGGCAGAGGCAGTAACTGTGAGGAATATAGTCTAGCAGTAGGCTCAGCTAGTTAGGAAAAGGTAGCTAAGCCTAGCACAGTTCTTCACCACTTACTAGTCATTGACCCTTTGCAAGCTGACAAAAATACAGATCATTGCCACAGACTATTGGGTAGACAGACTTTGATGTGCATGTCAAGGCCCTCACAAATGCGCCGAGGTTCACATGTGGACCTAGCTTTAGAGAGTGCAGTGCACTGGAGAAACACTGCTTCTGTCATATGACAGTTCTGACTGCAGCAAGGCACCGGGGAAGCCCTTAGTGAAACACGGCCGGCTGCTGGAGTTTGACTGCTCCCTGAGGTAGCGCTCAGGCTCCATGTTGCTCAGGGTAAAGGATACTTATGAGAAACCGGTTGGAGAAATTTTAAAGGAAGCTCTTCATATCCTGTTTACTTCCCTCTTTCTTCAAGGAAGTTACTGGGGATTTGAGTTTGCCTCCTAGGTAGCAGCCAGCATTTTCCTGATGGCTCCAAGACCTATGTTTTAATGTATTTGTTAAAATTTCAAGATCTTTAAGAACAAAACAAAACCACGTTCCTGTAGTTTGATGACATGCTGCTCAGTTTTGCTCTTTTTCTTGGGGCAGGATTGTTGCCAAAGAGGAAACTTAAAGGGATGTTTTGTCCTATGAGAGGAGGATTCTTCATCCTTCAACTTCATGATGAGCTTTTATATGAAGTGGCAGAAGAGGATATTGTTCAGGTATTTTTGTAGCACACAGACCATTTTGTAGACAGCAGATGGTGGGGGTCAAAATGACCATGTATTTGTTTGTTTTCTGCCATGTGCAATGTATTTGGACCCTCTCTAACAGGGTCCAAATGCTGATCCCTCCAGGGTGTGCTCAGTCTCATACTGACAGTTGGGGGGGGGGGGTCTCCACGCAGAGATGCTTTGTCTGAGTGCTTGCCCCAGGCAGTCTAATGCCTGGCTTTTTTTTTTTTTTCTTCTATAAACTTTTCTTTGTTAGTTTATTATAATTTATTCAATTTGTTTCCTGGCTATGGCCCCCTTTCTCGTCTCCTCTTCTCCCCTTCCCTCTGACCCTAGCCTATCAGGTCTCATCAGGACCTGCTGCATTATCTTCCTCTGTGGCCTGGAAAGGCTACACCCCCCCCCCCCAGGGGAAGGTGTATCAGAGAGCCTGCCACTGAGTTCATGCCAGAGAAAGCTCCTGCTTCCCTTACTAGGGACCCCACTTGGAGACTGAGTCTATGGGCTACATCTGAGCCAGGGTTTTAGGTCCTCTCCATGAACTGTCCTTGGTTGGTGTATTAGTCTAGTCTCTTCAGGGCCCCCAGCGCTCAGTTTTTATGGCTCTGTTGATCTCTTTTTGGAGCTCCTGTCGCCTCTAGGTCTTTCTATCTCCCCCCTTTCATAATATTACCTGCACTCTGCCCAAAGTTTGGCTGTCTCAGCCTTTGCTTCAGAAGAGTCTTTCAGAGGCCCTCTGTGGTAATAAGCTCCTGCTCCCGATGTCTATCACATTTGTCCTTCTGAATGAGGATTAAGCATCTTCCCTAGGGTCTTCCTTGTTGTTTAGCTTTTTTAGGAATATAGGTTTTAGTATGTTTATCCTATATTATATGGCTAATCTCCACTTATGAGTGAGTATACACCATGTGTGTCTTTGTGCTTCTGGGATAGCTCATTCAGGATGATCTTTTCTAGTTCCCATCATTTGCCTGCAATTTCATGATTTCCTTGTTTTTAATTGCTGAGTAGTATTCCATTGTGTAAATGTACCAGAATTTCTGTATCCATTCCTTGGTAGAGGGACATCTAGGTTGTTTCCAGCTTCTGGCTATTACAAATAAAGCTGCTATGAACATGGTTGAGCAAATGTCCTTGTATATAGTTGAGCATCTTTTGGATATTATATGCCTAGGGGTGGTATAGCTGGATCTTAAGGTAGTATTTATTTTTTATTATTATAATTTATTCACTTTGTATCCCAGCTATAGCCTCTTCCCTTGTCCCCTCCCAGTCTACTGATAGGGGAGGTCCTCCTCCCCTTCCAGGACCTCCCCTTCCATATGACCCTAGCCTATCAGGACTGGCAGCATTGTGTTCCTCTGTGGCCTGGTAAAGCTGCTCCCCCCTCAGGGGATGGTGATCAAAGAGCCAGCCACTGAGTTCATGTCAGAGACATCCCATGCTCCCCTTACTAGATTTCACTTGGAGGCTCAGCTGCCACATAGGCTACATCTGAGCAATAGATCTAGTTTATCTCCATGCATGATCCTTGGTTGGATATCAGTCTTTGCAAAGACCCCTTGGTCCAGATTTCTTGATTCTCTTGCTCTCCTTGTGGAACTCCTGACAGGAGCCTACCACAGAGGACCTCTGAAAGACTCTACCCAGTAGGGTATCAAAGCAGATGTTGAGACTAATAGACAAACTTTCGGCAGGGTACAGGGAATCTTATGAAAGAAGGGAGAGATAGAAAGACCTGGCTCACTTTTGATTGTGTTTAAACACCTCTAGATGCAGAGTACCAGTCTGGTTTATACCTTGCTCAGTGGGTGACTGGGAAACATCCTTTGATTTGGACGGAGTTTATTAACCTCTTTTCTTTATTTGTAGGTAGCTCAGATTGTCAAGAATGAAATGGAATGTGCTATAAAACTGTCTGTGAAGCTGAAAGTGAAAGTGAAAATAGGTGCCAGCTGGGGAGATCTGAAGGACTTTGATGTTTGAAGGTGCAGCCTGTACAGACAGGGTCACTTAGAGAGCACTGACTGTCCTTTCCCCTGCCTCATGACCACCAGCTCCCAAGTCTTGGTGCATCTCAAAGAGCACTTCTGTAGTGGGTTTCTAATGTGTGCCTAGGGCTGGTCCCGGCAGTGTTACAAGGTGTTGAGGGGAAGTTAGTTATTCTCACTCTCAAAGAGTATGTATGAGTTTGCCTTTCATAATTTATTAGGCTTTAAACAGTCTCAGGGTATATGCTTGAAAAATGCACTTAGCACTTTCGGTCCTCAACTGTGTAGACTGTGAAGGAATGGAACTGCTGCCTCGGGATATTTTTATTCTTGTCCAGGACTCGGACACTCATGCCATAATCCCCCGAGAGCCACAGGCAGTGTTCAGTTCCAGTAGATTAGAATAATGCGGACTGTGTAATCTTTCTACTGTAAAAACTTAAATCAGAATTCTAAAAGATTGTAAGATATGGTGCAAAAGGAGCCTAGAAATCCATTTTCACAGTTCTCATAGTGAAAGTATTTGGGAGACTCTTAAAATGAGCTCTTTCCTGTAGGAAGTGTCCCATCAGGTTAGACTTGATTGCAGTTGAACCTAACACTGTCAGGCCAGGAAAATGCCATTTAGTGCCTCTCTCTGTATTTGTGATAGGGAAAGAATACTCAGGCTCAAAGCATTGATTTTTATACTCACAATTGATATGGTTTGCTGTTCAAATAAATTTATGAGAAACTTATATTAATGTTTCCATTAAAAACTTATTTGTTCTAAGAGTATCAGAAGTCTTTGTCTTTTATTTAGTTTTATTTGGTTTAAGAAATATGTATTATACACTTGGTTATGAGATTTTTGTATGTTAATCATGATGAAAAGAGATACCTGCTTTATCAGATACAGTTGGATGGGTAGGGAGGGAGGGGCAAAGGGTAGAAGATGGCCTCAAACTCTGTCTTGAATCCTCTGCTCTTAAGTGATGGGATTCTAGGCATGAACTGCCACTCTGCTTTATTCCTTGAGGTGTTTTATGTTTGTGTGTGTACAAATATGAATGACCAAGGGAGGATCCCCACCCCAAAATCCACCCATCTTATAAAAATGAGAATTAAACTTGATGAACTCTAGGAAAAGAACAACCATTAACTTCAAAGAATTCAAGACAAGTAAAGAAAAAAAAGTCAACCTCAAAGAGAATGGGCTAAAGAGAATAAATGCCCAAGAGATATTCAAGAAAATGCAAACATAAGTTTGATTAAAATGACAAAGACCATCCAGGATTTGAAATCTGAATTCTACTCAGCAACTCACAGAAGCTTTTCTAACATAAAACCACATATTGGGACATAAAACAAGTCTTTAGAGATTCAGTAGACTGAAATAAATCATTGCATCCTATCTGACCACAATACAATAAAAATTAAAATCAAGAGCAAACAATCCTCTAGTAAGCACACAAACTCAAAAAGAGTTAACTTTTTGCTAACTGATGACTGGGTCAAAGAAAAATGTCAAATTTTCTTAAAATCTTGGAACTAAAGTATAACAAAACCTCTCGACACATTAAAACATTTTTATGAGAAACTTAGTGCCTACATTAAGAACTCAGAAAAGGCATAAATGAATGACTTCATAATGCAACTCAAAAATTTGGAGAAACAAGCCAAGTCCAAACTCAGTAGATGGCATGAAATTAAAAAAAAAAAAAAAATCAGAGCAGAAATTAATGAACTGGAAACAAGACAATACAAAGAATTAACTAATATCTGGTTCTTTGAGAAGAAAAGAACAACAGACTCCCAGCTAACTGAAAGAAAAAGAGGACCTAAATGAAATCAGAGATGATCAGGGAAACACAACAACAGACATCAAAGGATACTTGAAAACCCTATACTCCATATGTTGGAAAATCTAAAATAAATGGACAAATTTCTAGATTCAGTCAAATCACCAAAACTAAACCAGGAAGAGACCAACAGCTTAAATAATCCTATAACAAGAGGAAATTGAAACAGAAAAGTGTAGCTAAAAATGATCCAGGCCAAGTTAAATTCATAGCATAAGTCTACCAGACTGTCAAAGAAGGTCTACAGCCAACTGTTCTTAAATTATGATATGAAGGGGTGAGGAGAAACACTCCCAAACTTTTTATAAAGCCAACATTGCTCTAATACCAAAACCAGCTAAGATAGAAAAAAGAAAAAAAAACAAAACAACAACAAAAAACAAAACTACAGGCCAATATACCCTCTACACATAGAATAAAAATTCCTCAATAAATAAAATACTCTCAAAGCAAATACAGACATACATCAAAAAGATCATCCACCACCATCAATTTGTCTTTATGAGTAATTCAACATATACAAGTCAATAAATATAATCACATAAATGGACTTAAAAGACAATCATCTCAATAGATGCAGAGAAAGCTTTTGACGAAATCCAACATAACTTCTTGGCAAAAGGTCTAGACGGTGTAGTAGTAGAATAGATCTTGATGGAACTGGCCATAGGTAATTTGGGACATGATGGAGAGAGTGGGCATTGGGAAATGACAGGTTAAAAAAAAAGACAGAAAATTTAGGATAGTTTCAGGAAGGCTATCAGTCAATACTGAAAGCAGCAAGTTTATTCTACAGCTCCTTTTAAAAGACAAAGCAAAACAGTTCACATCGGTACAAGGATGGGGATTCATGGAACAGTTAAACTTGGTTTCCAAGACCACATTCCTATATGGCAGACATGATCCACGGTCTCACAGACAAGTTAAACTTGGCAAAACCTCCTGCTTATTTCTATTTCAAGGTAAAAGCTAGGGCAAAAGCATGTTTTCCGTTGAATACTCTATAACAAAGCAGCCCTCCAGGAAAGCAGCTGTCCACAGCTTGAGAAAGCACTTTCTCTTCCCACAATATCTCAACATAATAAAGCTATATATGTGGAACTTAGAGCCGACATTATCCTAAACAGGAGCACTTGAGGCACGCCCACTTTAAATCAGGACCAGGACAGAGCTGCCCAGCGTCCCCACTCCTTTTCAATATTGTGCTGGAAGCACTAACTAAAACAGTAACATGAGAGTCTAAAGTGATACAAATGGAGAGGCATCCCCATTTGTAGATGATGTGATATTACACTTAAGATATCTAAATTCTGCCAGAAAACTTCTAGGAAAAATAGTTTCAGCAAAGTGTCAGGATACAGAAACATAAGTATCAATGGCTTTTATATACACCAATGACAAACGCACAGCTAGAGATCGTGGGCATGCGCGCATTCATAATAGCCTCCAAGAAAATAAAATAGGAATAAGCCTTAGATGGTAAAGGATTTTTACAATGACAAACCTATGAAGAAATAAAGACAGTAAAAAGTGGAAAGACATCCCATGCTCATGGATTGGTAGAATTAATATTGTAAAAATGACCATTCTGTCAAAATTTATTTAGACTCCATGCATCAAATTCCTCATGTCATTCTTCACTGAAATGGAAAAAGCTTTCCTAAAATTATGAAATCACCGAAGACCCTGAGTTGCCAAAACAATACTGAAAAAAATTAACAAAGGAGAGGCTGCTATTCCAGGCCTCATATTGTAGAGCCATACCAATAAAAACAGTATAGTTCTGGCATAAAAACAGACTTGCAGATTAATGGAACAAAATAGAAAACCCAAACATGTAACTATAGCTAGCTAGTATTTGCCAATGATTCAAAAACAAACGAATAACTACTACAAAAACAACAACAACAAAAAACACTCATTGGAGAAAATAAAGTATCTTTAGCAAATGGTGCTGAGAAAATGAGAAGTCCACATGCAAAAGAATGAAATTAAATCCATATCTGTTACTAACTCAAATGGATCAATGAGCTCAATGTGAATCCTGAAAAATGAGAGTGTTAGACAACATTGGTGATGTCCTGAAAAATGAGAGTGTTAGACAACATTGGTGATGTCCTGTAGGACAGAGGTATAAGAATCCATTTGTCCAAGAATAAAGGCCAACAGTTTACAAGTAGGATTTTTATAAAACTAAAAAGCTTCTATACAGCTAAAGAAACAAGCAGGTGAAGAAGAAACCCACAGAATGGGAGAGAATCCGGGCCAGCTACATATCTGAGAGAGGATTGATAACCCAGAACATAGAAAGAAAATTAAAAAACCAAACAACCCATTCAAAAAGTGGGGTTGTGATCTGCACAGAGTTCTCAAAAGAAGGAACAAAAATGGCTAAGAAATCTCTCAAAAAATGCTTACCATTACTATGAGGGAAAAGTAAATTAAAACAACTTTGAGATTTACCTCACCCTAATCAGAATGGCAAAGATCAACAAAATATCTGACAACAAATGCTGGAGGGCATCTGGGGAAACGGGCACCCTCATTCCTTGGTTGGTGGGATTGCAAGCTACTCCAGACACTGAAAGTCAACGTGGGGAACCCCCAAGAAGCTGGAAATAAATCCACCCCATGACCCAGCTGTACCGCTCCTTGGCCTATGCCTCAGGGACTTGGCATCGTGCTCCACAGACATTTACTCAGCTGTGTTTATTGCTGCTCTGTTCACAATAGTTGGGAAATGGAAACAACCTAAATGCCCCTCAACTGATGACAAGATAATGCAAATGTGGTTCATATACGGAACACTGTGCAGCTCTAAATAAAAAGGAAACGAAATTTGCAGGCAAAGGGGTGCTATTAGAAAAGATCACACTGAGTAAGGTAATCCAGTTCTGGAAAGACAAACATCCTACTTTCTCACTTATCTGTGGCTTCTAATTCACATCTTCAGATAAGTCTATAACCTGGGGTAGCCACAGAAGCCAAGGAAGTAAAATGGAACCATGGTGTGTGTGTGGGGGGGGGGGTAGGGGTTGATAAAGAGGAAATAACGGGAGTAATATAATTTGAACAGAGAAATGTGAAAAACAACTAGGTGTGGTTAATTGTGAGAGGGAGGGAGGCAAAATAACAACGTCTGAAAAAGTCATAAGGACTCATCTATTTACCTAAGATTACATATAAGTGTGTGTATACATATATATACACACATAAACATATATTGTAAAACGCAATTTTCCCGCCTTGGCTGGAAACCAGTTGATTTTCTTAGTACTGATAATAAATTTGCTGAGAAATGCAAGAAGCAATTCTAGAAACACGCACATGCACACACCTGGGCACACGCACGCAAGCACATGCACACACACACACACACACACACACACACACACCTACTTTAAGAATTAAATACTGAAGAGCTGAAAGATCTCTGAAACAAAAATTACCAAACCCTGGAGAAAGAAGCTGAAGATACTAAAAGGCAGAAAATAGTCCATGTTCTTGGGTTCCAAGAATTGGTAGTTATATTACCAAAAGCAATCTATGGCTTCAACATAGTCCTCCAGAGCACCAATGACGTTCAACACAGAATCAGAAAAAGCACGTAGAAACACAAAGATCTCAAGTACCCAAAGTGGCCTCAAGTCAAACTCAGAACTGATAGCAAGCTTCCCTTCCCAGGGAAGTGACAAATACAGAGACTCGTCCTGTTCAGACTAAGTTGAGCACTCATCCCTAAACTGCCCCCGCTAACTTTTGGGGAGCATTTGAAAGAGGGGAAATAAAGAAGGGACAGAAGACAGGGGGAGGACTGTGAACTGTTATAGCGGTTGTGGA